ACTTCATCGTCGCCGTCGTCATCGACCTCATCATCCTCATCCCAATCCCACAACAGTACTGGAGCTGGCAACCAAACCTCCTCCTTGCCATCGCCACCGTCATCGTGGTCGTCCTCATCAAATGTCAGCACGTCCTACAACAGTAGCACATATGGAAACCAGACCTCCTCGTCATCCTCATCGTCGTCGTCCTCCTCCTCCCCCTCCTCCTCCATTGTCGACGGTAGCAGCAATGCGGACCAGCGCTCTTTTGGCGTGAGCTTGGGACATGCCGGCGGCAGTCTCCCCTCCCCCTCCGCCATCGTCCACCTGCTTAAGTCGCATGGCATCTCCAAGGTTCGCCTTTTCGTACCCATCCCCGGTGTCCTCTCGGCTCTGAAGGGCACCGGGATTCAGATCATGGTCGGCGTGCCCAACGAGAAAATCATGCATCTCTCCATGGGTGGTGTTGACGCCGCCCTCGACTGGTTGAAGGCGAACATTCTCAAATTCGTGGACCCCAAGCAGGTGTGCTACCTTGCCGTCGGCAACGAGGTACTCCAAGCGCACCCTTTAATCATCCGGCACCTCGTGCCAGCCATGTACAATCTTCACAAGGCGTTGCAGACGTCGGGACTCGATGCCGCCATCAAGCTATCTTCGCCGTGTGCCTCACACATTCTGGGCGTTCTGATGCCTCCGTCGGCCGGAGCGTTCGCTCCATTCTGCCTCCCCGTGATCCGGCCGATGCTGAAGTTCCTATCAGAGACCGGGGCGCCCTTCATGGTGAACATGTACCCGTTCCTCCGCTTCATCCATGATCCCACGAGCATAGCCTTGAACTTCTGCCTCTTCAGAGGGAACGCGCAGCCGATGCTGGACGGTGGCCGGCACTATACAAACATGTTGGAGGTAATGATCGATGCCCTGGTGACGGCGATGGAGAGGGAGGGGTTCGGGGGGATCCGGGTGATGGTGTCGGGGACAGGATGGCCGACGGCAGGGGACAACGCCGCCACCCCTGCGAACGCAGCAGCTTACGTTGAGGGGCTTATGCAGCGGGCGTCCAATGGAATGACAACGCCGAAGAGGCCGAATCAACCCGTGGAGGTGTTCTTATCTGATATGTTCAAGGAGCACGTACAAGGCGTAAAAGCGTTCCATAGGTTTTTCGGCATCTTCAACATTGATGGCAGCCCGGCTGTCAACATCAGCTCCTTCACGTAGACTCGACATGTGCTCTCTCCGTCGGTCACTGCCTCTCACTATATCCAAGTCTAAACTCACAAGAGACTCACTTGATATGTCTCTTGCACTTTTTTTCTCCCTTTTTTTTTGGTCTTTTGTGTTCTTTTAGAGCCCTTACTCTTTGAGTCCCTCACCGTTCACTCATGGTGACGGAGACTTTAACTTATGATGGTGACAATAAACTGCTATATTAGCAAGCGAATCTTTGGCTTGTATTTTGCACATTACTGCTACCGAGATTGATTTACCCAACAAGACCACTGTCAACTTTCAAGCTTACCATTCAACACCATCAGATACCGTGGTGAACTAGTTAATAATAGTAACAAACAATATCGAGTAGAGAGAACGCACCGTAAGATACGGTGAACTGGAAAATACCATCTATGATGCAGTACTTGCTTGGGATTTATTATGCATGACACCCTAGTACTTGACTTGGAACCACTTCTTGGCATCTTCCTTTGTGACCCAGTGTTGAATCCCAACACGAGACTTGACTTGCAGCGACGCCACTAACCAGCTCGCTCCAACATCACATAGAAGTCCATCCCATATATACCTGTTGATGGATTATACCTGTCAAAGTCATTGACTGCAAATCATTAGGTGACAAAAGGTTTCAGAATGCAAAATAGCTTCAGGTGGAAGAAGAGTGCACAAAGAATAATACTAGCGCCGGTGAAACCACGAGATTGTCAACACGGTAGGGCTCAACTCATTGCTAAATCTTGTCACAGAAGGGTGCTCAAGAAACCGCTTCTCAAACAAGTGGTATCAGAAGAAAGTTTACTCATCATAGCCCTGCCCACTGCAAACCACTGAAACCGGAGAGCATTCTGATTTACTAAAAAAGGGTTAAAAAGCATTCTGAATTGCACCAAACATAGAATTGATTACACAAGCATCAATCCAACAAGGGTTCAGATATTTGCTACTCTGCTCAAAGAAGGGCCAACTTGAAGTAACCCCTCTCAAACAAGAGGTGTCAGAAAGAAGCAATTCTCATCACAACCCTTGATCACAGTTCTCCAATAATTATGCCTCTGGACAAGGCGCGGCACAAGGATGTATAAGAGCATACAGTTCTTAAGTAAATAGTTGCAACTAACATAATATCTCGAGGAACATGTCCTGATGAAAATATAAAAGTAGGCAACTTAGTGGAAAGAAATAAAATAATAAAATTATTTAACAAAATAAAAATTACTATCTATCGATCCCGAAATGAATATTCAGTGTCATACTTGATTCCAAGATCGATGTGCTCTTGAATTCCAAAGCCAAAGAATCCTGTTTCACTGAAGTTCCTCCTCAATAACTCGTACTCTCACTTTCAAGCCACTCTCTAGGAGTTGCATGGCCTTGTCCCCTTTAACGGTCACATAACAAGCAATCTTTTCATTGCGTCGAATCCCAAAGGACCGAACAGTATACCTGGCTATATAGTACAGAAAATTTTCTCAAGATCTGCAAAGCAACAAGACAACAAAAAATATGAACCTGTTGCAGAATATATATTCAATTGTTCCAACACCTGCTGAGGATACAAAATGATTAGAAAAGAGAGCAGAAGGCAATGAAGAATTGAGCAACACTGAAGAACTATAACAATCGTCATAAGACAATTTTTCCTGCTTGACATAATTAAAATATGAATAACTTTGAACAAGTGTTAATACATTACAGAAAAGATCAATCACATGGAACATGCAACCAACACAACCAAGCAACACTCTCAACCTGATATTTAATCACAGTCCGTTATCGATTTCAACAAACAACATCAGAAAAATCAATAAAAGAAATTATATACCGATCAGTACCGGGCTATATGGTCTGGCACTGGTCCTTTGGTTGGACCACGGGACCAGTACAAACAGGACAGTAAATCGTTCTGGCTGGTACTTGATTCCTTGTAGTCTCGACTGACCATAAGTTCTTATAGTTTAATGGAGCATAAAATGATCAATTTGATGCAGATATTTCCTGCTCCAACTATATATTCATTGTTAAGCTATATTCTGTTTTTGACACCCAAAAAGTATCATGTAACATCATCATTCCAAAAGTTAGATGTTGCAAAAATTAATGGATCAGGCTTCCCACTGAAAAAAAGGCTCAAGAGTCAAAATACCAACATGTCCAAACATGTATGGCTCATCCAAGTTGGACAAAGACTTGCATCAATTGTCATAATAAATAGAAAACCATTATCTTGCAGCTGTAACAAACTCTATAAAATTGGGGGGGAAAATCAAAAGGCACACTAAGCACTTGAACTTAGCAAGACATCTGCATCAGTTGACAGTCATCAAAAGAATTTATAAAAAAGATATAAACAACAGCATAATTCAGCACTAATCCAATGGGCACAAAATAATAAAACTAAAACATCAAACGAGTGCCAGAGATTATGTGATATCAGATGGTGCCTTTTCCCAATAATATGAAATATATCACAAAAATTAACTTAAAATACTAAGCTATAGCCTCTATATTAAGCCGAAAAAGAATATTATCCACAATAACCTCTCTTTTAAGAACTACAAAATGTCAATACAAGTCTAAAGAGATGCAAATCATGCAAAGGTTAACAACTTTGTTCGCAATAAATGAGAGCATTCTTAAAACAAAGAAGAAACTTCTTGCAACACTCTTTATCTGTCAGAAGTAGCAAATACCTTAATCCTACCACAATCAAAGGCAACCAAAGATCCAAGATTCATGCCAGTACCGCATTGATACTACTAATGAATCTCCTAAAAGCAGAAACAAAATCTATGGCCGGAAACTTCCCACAATGGCTTTCTGCGTTCGTTGGATCATATTAACAAATGAATAGTATGAAGGAACTTGTCACCTTCGCCGCACGGGTAAGGCGATCGTCGCTTTCTCCTACAGATATGTTAAGGACCACCTTCTGGACCTTGATCTCCCGCATCGGGTTGGACAATTTCTTCTCCGACGCCTGCAAAGGATGAGAACTGACGATATCAATAAGCAAAGAGAGCAGAAAAGCCAAAAGAATGGAGCGATCAATTCATAGGATGTAACTACCATTGCGCGATCCCTTCCCCGATTTCCCACTTGTGTCACTCCCCAGCGGCGGCGACTAGTGAGGCATAAAACCCTACAAGTCGCCGACCACGACGATATTTATACAAAACCCTACAAGTCACTACCGTTAATTGGCATGAATCAATTAGATTATAGATGAACGGTCGATGATCGAGCCGGAGGCGAAAACGAACCCGATTCAACTCGACTCAGGTCTCAGATCTATAAATGCTCATTTGTGTCCTTCCCCGGTAGACTCGACTGAACTCTGCCGATTGTCGCTGACATCGCTCGATTTGGACGTCAACATGGTGCCCACCGGCGAGCGTCGAGCACCGCCGCCGCCTTGTGGTTGTGATCCTGCACGAAGAAGCCCCAGCGGTCCGAGATCAAAAAGTGGAACGACGTTGCCCTGTTGGCCTGGGGTAGTCGCCATTCAACCTAATTAGTAGAATCGACTATTCCTGTGCTTTGTGCTCGGACTATTCGATCGAATGTCCGGCGGATGGGTTGAATTGATGCAGAGATCGCCGTCGATAACTGGAACCATCATGGATCCCTGTGAGAAATCTTGCTCCATTTGCCCTTTTTCTATCGTGATGATGACCTTCAATTTAGTTGTGGTGTTGGGTTTGTTCAATGTTCATGTGCTTTCTGTGTGAAATGAAGCTGGCCATTTGAAATGCTCGCAGGCATCAGAGTGCCAGGCTGATCAGGCGAGCGCAACAAGCTAGGAGTGTGCTCTTGCGTGGGGTAATTGATTGCTTTTTCCCTAGAATGCTTCGCACTGTGATGCCTTTCGTCGTAAATGGTCATACCGTGCAATGTTTCATGGCACATTGCTGACAGTAGTAGCAACTTTATAGGGAGATACTGTCGATCGATCATTATCAGATATATATTTTTTCATGTGGCTTTCAAGTTAGAAGAGATCAAAGCCATCCCTCACCGGTATGTGCATATGAACACAGATCCCAGATAAATAATTATAGGTTGTCTTCGTCCATATCACTTATGCAAATAAAGGGTCAAAATAAAATTGTTAAAGACTATAAAAATATTTTATAGAATACTTTTAACCTAGGGAAATACTTTTTACTCATCACCATACTCATCTTTATAGCATTACTAACCTGAGCATAGAAGATATCAGGTTTGAAAATATTTTTTGACCTTAATTTTAATATAGATAGCACCTTAGGAGATTAAGGCATCTTGAACAATCTTATGTATATGAGTCAAATTCATATTAAGCTAATCAGAACGTGAATAACATCTTCATATAACATTTTTGACGTTAAGCGGAGGGTCTGATAATACAGGAATGTCTACCTATTGATCCCCTCAATGAATGCTTGAATGAAGAGATTTTTCCTTCGACCCATAGTACTTGCACTCACTCAAGATACGTAACAATTATCTTTTTCGTATATCGGTGCATCTACCTCAGTGCAAACACTGATGACATATTGATACTTATTTAATGACTCGAGCTTCTAACTCTTAGGGATGACTCTAAATCACATATTCATCTCCATTGATGTGTTTTAAACTTTACTTAGGAAGTGCAGATACTAACAAACATAATATAGGTCATCACTCCGCTTTTGCCCTAGTTGGCTTAATATATGGTGTCATTATCTCATACGTAGTCCTCGACTCCATCACCACTAGCACCCATTGAGGTTCCTTGACCCGACTCAATACCAACATCCCAAGAGTACTCGATGCCTATCAAATCACCATTCTCAGTCTGCCCTATCTGAATGCGATGAGAACTCCAATAGTCAAAAGGAGAAGCACTAGTTGACCCCATCTCGAGTTAGGTGTATATTACAACTTTTCACACTTAGATGTCACTATATAGCGACTCAGATGTCCTAATATGACATGCATTCTCAACCACTTTAAGATGCCTATTACGAGAATGATATGCTCGCTGCTTTCCATCTACTCTTTCGCTTAACTAGCCCAAGGCTTGACATCCTTGTCAATGCCCAACATAGCCGAGGGCTCCATGTCGTGACGAGTCGGTCGACTCTAATATCAAATGTCACAACTAATGCCTAATGGGGTAACTGGCCTATCAATTTCGTTTGGCCCAAACCAATGATCAAAATATTTAAGCAAATGTTTATAGTGATATACTTATTAGACTCTTATATTTCAATCATAGTCCTTCCTACTTTTGATGTGGGTCTAATCAGGGGTATTACAAACCATCCTAAAAATAATTAGAACTGAAGTTTTTCTCTAAATAAAAGAGAATGTGCTCTTTTAAAATCCTTACTTAATGTATACCTCATTGACGAAAAGAGACAGGTCCAAGTATTTCTAGCTCCACCAAGATTACAACCATGACATTGAAGATTATTGTGACTTGAAAAAGCATATTGAAGAGCTCATACATCGAGGATATCTTATGTGGTTCATTTGAAAGCACCGAAAACCCTCACCCTGACCTTAAGATTTGTTAAAAAGATAAATTGATGTCATCATTAGTAGACTTGTCTCAAGGGAAGATAACTCGGCTTGTAAGGCTTATGATCGAACTACCACCAAAAGCACCTAAGGATGGAGGATAACCTAAAAATAACTTTAAGGAAAAAGAAACAAAATACTTCGACCTAAATCATTATGATGCTTTAGTGATCTTTTTTAGGATGATTAATGCTTGGATGACGAGGATTATAATTAACACAGGTAGCTTTACTGATATCTTTTACTTTGATACTTTTTGAAAACTTAGACTATCAACTAATGGCTTACTCCAATGACTTCTTTACTAATAGGGTTTACCGACAACTTTATCTCTCCTCTTAGGACTATGAATTTATATGTCACATTCAAAGACAAGTCTTGCTCCAAAATAATTTGACTAAGTTCATGGTAGTGGATATCCCCTCAACACACAACACGATTATGGGTAAAGAGATTGATGGTGGTAGTGTCGACTTACCACATGATAAAATTCAGGGACACGTCAGAAGGCATGAGAATGTTCGATATATAAAGACTACCTCATAAAGTATGAAGAAACCCAACACTACAGGAGGCACAAAGCAAAACATGCTCATGACATGCAAGTCAGGAAAACATGACTCACGTAAGAAGAAACCCGCCATGGTGAGAGGCATCAGGCAAAATGTGCATTAGATACGTGAGATAAAAAAACTTGACTCATGTGATAAGAAACCCACCATGATGAAAGACATAAGATAAAACATGCCTAAGACATATGAATTAGGAAAACTCAACCCTCATGAAAAAAAATTCATCACGGCAGGAGGTACAATGTAAAATATGCTTGAGGTGCATAAGTCAAGAATTAAAAAAACCTATAATGATGGGAGGCATAAGACAAAACACACTCGAGATATATGAGTTGGGAAAACCTGACCCATGTGAGAAAAGACTCATTATGGTGGTAGACACAAGGTAAAATGTACTCGAGGTGTAAAGGCAAAGGTTCCCAAAGTATGATAGTTGGAAAAACCTGACCCAGTTGAAGAGAGCTCTCAAAGGTATGAGTCAGGTCAGGTCAAAAAAATGGACCCCCTCGAGGCTAACTTGAGGTGGAGAGGTTGAGCGTCAACCCCCTCTATAAGATGGATAAGGTGGGCATCAACCTTACCCTTTGCTTGAGGTGGAGCGGTCAAGTGTTGACCACCTCTCTGCCCAAGATGGGTAGGTCGAGCAGCCCAACCCCCACGTTGCTTGAGGCGAGGAGGATGAGCTCACCGACCCTCTTTTTGGCATGCTTAAAATATATTGGTCAAGCACTCTTACTCTTAAAGAGCTCTATAAGCATGCTTTTTAAGAGAACAAATGATAGAAAGAATATCATCGACTAATTATCATTCAACATGTGTCTTTTGCGTGACATTCATGGATATGGGTCCAAAATAAACAGTTATAGATTTGTTATCTTCACCTTTGCATTTGTGGATAAAAGACCAAATTGAGATGGTTAAAGAGAGTCTCGAAGAATATTTCAAAGAATATTTTATCATTTTACAATCAAATATAAAATTTTATTTTTAATATAATTACGGCTCATCGTAATATCTCAAGAGATTATTATTTTCATCTTAGAGGTACATCAAACAATCCTTTACATACAGATTAAAACCATGTTGAATTGAATTGATCGAAATATCAATAACATTTTTTTCATAACAGAGGTACTGTTATTGCATGACAATATTCTTTACTAGGTTCTATGTGAAGTTAGTTAATACAATAATAAAGTCTCAATTATTTAAAATATATTAAATAAAGTTAGAAAAAAGAAGAGAAAAAAAATTTCTGACTCACCACTAAGGCCAAAAACCATCAACAGTGGAGCAGCCTAGTGCTGCCGCCACCGCCACCGCCACCGTTTGTTGCCCGAACCACCGAATGGCTCCGGCGCAACTTGGCGAACTCCACGCACTGCCTTACTATCATTAGCACTGTGTAATGTGTCTCGAGGTTGTTCTTGGTAGCCCAAGGGCGTCGGATATTGAGCATGTTACCGGCTGTGTAGTTCTCGATGAGGTATACGCAATCGGTCCGAGCTCTGAAGGCGATCTCCCGCCGTAGCTCCTCCGCTTTCCTCATGCTCTTTATCCGCTTCTTGTGTGTCAATACAACCACAAACTGCAAGCCTGTAAGTGATGAAAACTTGCAGCGTCATTTCTTAAGAAGGTTCGCATCTGTCTTGGCTACAGATTCATCAGCAAAACATGAGAGACGGATTCCAAATTGAAGGACCCATTTCAAGTGCGAGGGAATCGGGCGACGGAGTGAAGGAAAGGCATTCTACAAGAAGGATACCTCGTTGGCGGATGGCGGTGGTAACGTCAGCCAGTTTTTTTACAGCCGCGTGTCGGTCTTTCGCCGGCCCACCGCAGCGGAGCACCAAGGCCACGCATTCAGGCGGTGGCACCCCGGACAGCGCCTCCTCCACGTCAGCCCTCGTCAGCTGTCCTGGCTCGGGTAGGGCAGGCGCGTCCACCAATGCCACCTGTGCACACGTTGCCTCCCCTTCTTCCTTCTCGTCCTCGCTGCCGCCACCCGCAACCGCCGCCCGGATGACGCAGCGGTCGAAGGTGGCGCTGTGGGTTACCGGCGGGGAGGTCTCCGCCCGGAGGAGCATCGGCCCGGCCTCGGCAGCGAGGGCTCGGCACGCCGTGTTGATGAATGAGCTCTTGCCGTGGGCCCGGAAACCCGTGACGAGGACCGTCGGGGGTTCCCGGAGGAGCAGGACGGCGTCGCGGACGTCTTGGCGAAGCGAAGCAACGGTCTCTTCCCGGCTGAACCGCCGTAGGGCGAGGAAAGCCGCCGCCCCGGTGACGGCGGCGGCCGCAAAACTGAGAAGGAGGGGTACGGTGGAGGGCGACAACATCGGGCCTGGCTGGACCTCTTTAAAGGCGTTAGAATGCAGATAAAAATCAAGGGGACGGGTTGATCGGATCGAATAGTTGTTGTGAGGCCAAAAGAAGAAAAAGTTAATAGGGGAATAAAGTTGACACGATATGTTTATAGGGAGAGGGAAGAGAGAAGAGGGAAGCATTGATTCTTTACCTCCCTCGATTGTTTCGAGCGCTGTCATCATCGTGCAAATCTAACATTTTTTGGTTATAAACCACATGATGGAATTTATTACTTTAATATGGGAATATGACTCGTGGAGAATAACCGACCCGTTAGATCTCCACGATCGACACTTATTTGGCTCTCCGACCCCGGTTGGTCGGATTCTATGAGACAGACATTCTCGTGCGAATAGGGAGATAAGTCGACTCCAAGGAGTCGGCCACGTGGCATAAATGGGAAAGTTTGAGTTGATAAGTTATTACTTGGGTTCAATCGATATTAACTACTACGATCTTTATCTAACGGTAACATATCACACTATTAAAAGATCATCATGTACAGTATCATGATTTTCTTGAGTTCTCTTAGACTAATTATTTTATAAGATTAGTACTTTAATCGAATCTCTTGAATCTAAATTGACTTCAAAGAATCAGAAGGATCTTATCGAAAATGCTCCCAACGTAATTCTAGATTGTTCATTCTCTCTATAAAGATGAGACTTAAAAATGGATTAAGTTTAGTTTTGAAACGAGCATGAAGTGATCGAAGTATAAAGCATGAAGTGCCTTACAATGATTATGCAACTGAATTAGTCATGAAGTGTGTAACGACATGCAATGGCATGCAATAGCCACATGGTAATAAATAAGAGATCTAACATGGTGGATAATTTGATGAATGAAACATTATCTCTATAAAGACATGCAATGGCATGATCGAATCAATCGAACATGATTGTTCATGAAGAGCCCAATAATAATGATTGTGACTGAAACGTCTATGAAGTGTTCTATAATAAAAGTATAATTAAATAAATTATGAAACACCTTACGATAACAACATGCTCGGATGGTCACGAGGCAACCAATAAGACATCTAAAATGGTTGACAACATATTCCAAGGGAACATAACACATGGACAATAACTAATAGATTAGCTCCACGTAGCTAATACCTAATTGACATTTCAGATCATCATGTAGGGTTAGAACGATGAGGCAGACAATATAGTGCAAACAAAAAGATTGAGTTGGCTTCAGATTATCAGCCACATTGCATCAATGGGTAGCTGAATTGATAAGTCATTGCTCTATATTCTACGGGTTCGATACTTGACTTCATGATTTTATTTATGGTCAAACAGTATATATAATCATTCTCGATATTAATCATGAACTCAACCCAATAGTCATGTATTACACTATAAAAAGGTTGATGATTACACTATCATAACTCTCTTGAGCTCTCTTAAATAAATTAGATCAAAGTTTCTAAACTTAAACTAACTTAAAAATTAGATAGACATTATTGGTCTGACCTCCATGGAATTATTAAATATTATTAAATATTTTTAAATGGAACCACTAAGCAAATTATTAAATATTTTAAATAAATACTTGATATATGATATATCTTCTCCATATAATTCGATGATCTTATGATACACACACAAAAATAACCAAGATTATTTACTCTCCCAATACTATAACCTAAGATGAATTTTAAAGTGAATCTTAATTGACTCCGAATCTCCCACCACATTGTATAACCAATACATATCTTAATATTATTAAATCCTAGGGAGAAGATATATCGTATATTAATTATATTTTTAATATAATTAATAACTTAGTATGGTATATATCATAACATCATCGAATTCCATGGTGAAGATATATCATATATCAAGTATTTATTTAAAATATTTAATAATTTGCTTAGTGGTTCCATTCGAAAAAAACTGTCCAAAAAGACTCGAAACATCACTGATATTTTTATTTATAGTGACTATTATGTACTTAACAAAGGTTATATCTCTTTCCAACACACAATGACTTATTTAAGCTTGCCTTTGTGATTTAATTAGTTTTAAATTTAAAATCATAAATTTAAATTCTTTAATTCATGGATTTAAGTTACTTTTTAATAATTTAAAAATAGAATATCCTACTTTTCTTCAAGTATCTTCTTTTTAGAAAATCCTCTCATCAATCCTCCCAATATAGTGAGGAATGAGAGAGGAGATGAGTTCTTCTTGAAAAATAATTAATAATTAATAATTAATAATTAATAATTAATTTTTATTTTATTTTCACATATAAAAGATAAAAATATAACATTTATGTCTTATGATACACACACAAAAATAGAATATAAACTATTTACTTTTTAAAAATCATATCACTCATTAGAAAATAAATAAATAATTAATTAATTAAATTGATAAATTTTTTTTAACTTATTCATATTATTAAGATAATCAATTTTAACCATTTCCTTACCATACTACACAAATAAAAAAGTCAATAATTAAATAAATAAAAATATATTTTTTTATAATAATTAATTTATGTTAAGAAAAAAATTATGGATGATTACATTAATCATGAACTCAACCCAAGGACCATATATTACACTATAAAAAAGATTGATGATTATACTATCATGACTCTCTCATTTCCTAACGAATTATCTTATAGGCTCGATATTTGATCGAATCTTCTAAATCTAAACTAGCGTAAAGACGCACCTCAACTTGGATTATTTACTCCCCCAGTACCATAACCTAACACAAATTTACTCCTCTCTCATTTGAATAATCAACATGTATCTTATTAATATCATATCCTAAGAAGAAGATATTTTTAATTATAGTGACTATTATGAACTTAACAAGGGTTAAAATCTCTTTCCAACACACAGCGACTCATCGGACCTTACCTTTGTGCTGGGTTGGGTCTGAACCAATGTGCGTGTGAATCCTGGCTGTCTCGACTAATCTCCACAATGGCTTCGAATTCTTGAATTACCAATACTACCCTCATATAAATTATGATTCCTGTAGGTTCACCGCCCTGAGTCCGATAAATCCTGAATCATATCGGGGATAAAAAGGTAATTAGGACAAACCGCCTACGAATTGCGGCGTCGGTTGCCCAATCTTCTTGACCCGAATTGACCATGTCGACATCGCCCAAGTCCACCGACCTAGTCCTCCCTTCTCCTCGCCTCCTGATCCTCCGGCGGAGGCGGCGGGGGGCGCCGTTCCACTGCCGTCCATGAAGGCGATGGGACATACGACGAGGTCCGCGATGCGACGCAGCGAGTGCGGTGGCGGATCGGCAGCGGGATGGCGGCGTTTGCGGCGGCGGCGGTCTCTCCTTGCTGCCCTCTTGACCTCCGCGGCGGCTGCGGTGTTCCTCGCCTTTTCCCGACCCTTCGGCACCTCCATCGGGTTCGCCGACCCTTACGCCGTTCCCTCATCCCGTCGAACGGCCGACCTCTCGCCTTCTCGTCCGCCTCCTTCGCGGGAGGCCTCGCATGCGACGGGATTTGTGTCGAAGCCGAATTCCGCTGCTACTGTTGTTCTGTCTCCACTCGTGGCGCCTTCCCCATCTCCAAATGGGGACTTAGACGATACAGATTCTGATTACAGTAGTCCTGATTTAAAGGCGGCTCCCTTGTGGACGGAGGTGGTATGTCTTCTGTTCAGAATTCTTTAATCTTCTGGTAGTTTCTTGATTTTCTTTTCGCTAATTGCTGTTTTTCTTCTTTGAAGGCAGCAAATTTCACTGATACCGACGTTCCGCCTCTTTTTGTTGAGCCCCTTCCCTCTCCGCTTGGGAATTATGATGCTACCCAAGTGCAATATGTTAGTCCGGAGCCAAAGATGCTTCCTTTACAACCACTGGTATATAGTTTTCTCATTCTTTTTTGGTTTTCCTGATTTAGAGAGAGAAGATTCCTCATAAAGGACCAGGTCTTGATGGTTTTTGAACCCTATAGGTGACTGTTCCTTTGACACTCACCGATCAACAGCTCATCTATGCCAAGGGTGAGATTGATCATGCCCCTTTTGTCTATGATGATCCTGAACTTTATGCTCCTCTGTTCCAGAATGTTTCGGTCTTCAAGAGGTGAGACTCTGAAGTAATTCTTGGTGCCATACTTCTTATTCATTGTGGTTGATCTAGTGTGCATAAGAATTTTGGAATATGAACGAACATCTTGATTCTACTATAGTGTTTTCTTTGTAATTCGTGTAGTAGCTTCTTGCAGTGCATAAGATGGTTATTGGAGTGACAGTGTGGTGGATATGCTCATTGTGACCTTGCTTAATTGGATTATGCTTCCTGTGATTTTGGTTAATAGGATTTGAGATTTGTAATTTAGCTTAGGCCCTTTTCTGTAGCATATTAGCTAGCTTCTGAATGAGCCTTGATTCTGATCCAACACTTAGGAATTTAGTTTCCTTCTAATCTAGAATGGGGAATGGCTATGAGAAGTTCTTAGATAATACAGAACCGGTTATGCATCTTTCAGCGAGATGTGTTATCTCTTGTTTTTGAGATGTTGCGCAATTTTCATTTTGGTGGTTAGCCTCTAGTTGGTGGTCCATGAGCTCAGTGCTTGTTACCATGCTCATTTTGCTTCTGATTTAAGACATTTTTGTCTTAAAATTAAAAAGAGTACTTGGGAAAATGCTTGGAGATCAGTTACTACATTTTGAAAGTTCATGATACCTTAGTATCCTCTGGCTTATCTGAATCTCATATTGGGTCATCAACAATGATCTATTTTTTATCAGACTGATGCTTGTCATACTAATGTTTTGCAAAGCTTTGATCTATCTGTTTGTTTGATCAATGTAATAACTGTTCTTACTGCTGTGACAATGAAATTATCTTTGTAAAGAAATTGAAATCAATTATGAAATTTTCTTCAGAATCCAGCTTGTGTATTGTGAAGCAAAGGAAAAAAAATTTCAAGATAGTCAGGTGGTGAAAGTTGGCTTAGAAATCTGTGTCAAGAAAAAAGAAAGTCAGGCGGGTCATTGATTGTTGACTGACTGAGGTGTTAGTCAAGTAACCATCACCCATGCTGTGTGGCCAACTGCTATTTTAGAGTTCACTTGTCTTGTCTCCCTGCCTAACTGTTTTTTACATGTACATTTTTGTGGAATTAAAAGAGGTATATCTTGATATTACCTCAAGAAGAACCTGTCTGCTGCAGAATTACATGGCACTTGTGCATGTATCTTGTTTCCTAATCTTTAGTGTCATGAATTTTTCATATAAATAGCTTGCTTTTCAGGCCTTTGGATACTTGGACTGAAGTTCAATAAATGTTATTTCTCATCATAGTATTACTCTGATATTTCTTTTCCTTTACTCATATATTTAATCATTAAATATTTCCAGGAGTTATGAACTTATGGAGAGTATACTTAAGGTTTACATCTACAAGGATGGATCAAGACCCATTTTCCACAGGCCAGAGCTCAAAGGAATATATGCTTCCGAAGGATGGTTTATGAAATTAATGCATGAAAACAAAAATTTTGTTGTGAAGGATCCAAACAAAGCCCATTTATTTTACCTGCCATACAGTGCACGCAGGCTAGAGCAGGCTCTTTACGTGCTTAACTCACACAATATCCAGCCATTAATGATATTTTTGAGGAATTATGTTAACGAGATTTCTGTCAAGTATCCTTTCTGGAATCGAACAAGAGGAGCAGATCATTTTCTAGTTGCTTGCCATGACTGGGTATGTTCATCATACTCCTGACTGTTCTTTATCTTTTGCTTATTGATGTTGGTCTAGAAGAGATTTTTTTAGTGTTAACAGTCTCATTTGTGGGTCTCTAGTTACGAAACAGATGTTCCTGGTATTTCTTATCATTCTCTTTCCTGCAGTTGATAAGAATATGGTAAATGATATCTATATGACATTTATTGATTGGTGGGGTCTGGGGAGGGTCAATGTACACAATTTTACTCTTTTCGAGATTCGAACCCTATCTCCTGAATTACAAAGGAGCAATCTTACTATCTTACTAGTGTACTAAGGCCTGTTTTCTTAATAACATTCCTTGGCAAATAGGAATTGTGCATAATGTTGGTTGCAAATAATTTTCTTTTCTTTAGAGCACTTATAACTTCTTCATTCGTTGTAGTGTCTGTAGAAATTAGGTAAAGTGGATTAGAAAAGGAACGAAACTCAATGATTTTGTCAAGGAGCCATGTCCTTTTTAAAGCTCATATTAGTGGTGCTTCACAATTTCATAGCTGTTCTCTTTCATACGGTTAGCTTAGAGAAGTGTTGTGACTTGATTCTTTTTTTATTTCTGTATTTCAAAGCTCATTTTCAGCCTTGTCAATCTGAAAGCTCCACTCAGTGTTCTCTGTTCTTTCACTAACCCTATTCATGCTTATCCTTCGAACATCAAACGCTCGAGAGTCATCCTAATTTTCAAACCACTGTTTTGCTCATTAATTCTAACCATGCCTTATCAAAAGGTTCAATTGTCTTGAGCGTGTTATTTCTTGATTCTTGCTCTTCACACTCTCCTTGATATTGGAAATGCAGGAATTTATTACTCATTAACATCCTAGATAACTTCGAACTTTTTGATCAAAAGGCATCATCATTTTTCTTTCTGATAGAAGTTGTGATATTCAACATGCCTTTCTGTTACCAGGATTTCTCAGGTGCAGAGTTGAACAAAATGGCTTTGTGATAAGATCTTATTTAGCTTTGAAGGTGCTTACATTACATGAAATAATCAGATTGCCATTCATTTTATTATTAAGTCTACATTCTTTCCCTTGAAATCTTTATTTCTTGTCAGCTCTTTGTCAGTAATTCTACTTTTTCACCTGATACCTTTCGTAGTACTTAGCATGTAATAATATCTAGGGGCCTTACACAACAAAATGGCATCAAGAATTGCGCCAGAACACCATCAAAGCTTTATGCAATGCAGATGTTTCTGAAGGTGTATTTATCCGTGGAAAAGATGTCTCTCTTCCAGAGACAAGTATCAGAAATCCCAGAAGGCCGCCGAGAGATATTGGAGGAAAGCCTGCTTCTCAAAGAACTATTCTTGCGTTCTTTGCTGGGCAAATGCATGGTCGTGTCCGACCAATCCTCTTGCAATACTGGAGTGGGAGGGATGAAAACATAAAAATATATGGCCCTCTCCCAAAAGGAGTTGCAAAAAAGATGTCATATGCTGAACACATGAAATCAAGTAAATTCTGTATCTGTCCCATGGGTTATGAAGTAAACAGCCCAAGGATCGTGGAAGCTATCTACTATGAATGTGTTCCGGTTGTAATAGCAGACAATTTTGTTCTGCCATTTGAAGAAGTGCTCGACTGGCATGCCTTTTCAGTTGTTATAGCAGAGAAGGATATAGCTAATTTGAAGGATATACTACTAAGAATTCCACAGAGTGAATATGTCACTATGCAGATGAATGTAAAGAAGTTGCAAAAGCATTTCCTCTGGCATGCAAAACCAGTCAAATATGATATCTTTCACATGATACTTCACTCAATTTGGTTCAATAGACTAAACCAAATCCAGGCCGATCAGTAAATATTAGATTTTGCAACTTGTCCTTATAGAGTTTAGCAGATGATCATAACCAGAGTTCCAAATTTTACATCAAAATTTCATCAAATTGTTGTGTAGCATACATCTCTATGGCATTGTCAGATATACTGAATTGATCTTTCACGACTTCTACTGCATTGCTGATTGATGTTAAGAGCTCTTCTAATGATGGTCAGAGAATATCCTACACAGACGCAAAGTCAAGTTTGTGTTTGTTTTATAGAGGTATGTAATCAACTACTCCAAGGTTCACGTATTGCCTATGATTAAAATTCTTTCCTTTTACTCCATCTTTAATATCTGGATGCTGATAAAAGTCTTACAATGCTTTCCTACTTTTATTTTGCATGATTAACTAACAGTTTTCTTTGACTTAGTGGACAGCTTAAAAAGGATAACAGCCTTGCAACTGACAGAAAATGCTTATATATATGTGCATAGTTATCATATTATAACCTTTGCAACCAGCTGGATTAGTGATTAGAGAAACTTGAGTATGATGTTTAGTGGATTTGTTTAAAAATCATAGGCATTGTTGGAGTTTTAAAAACACTGAAAAATGATAAAAAGAATTATTCATTCTGGTGCCAAGAAAATAAGTGTGGGAAAGGCTATAACACCAAACTATAACTGCCAAAGATCTTTTTTTTTTCCCAAAAAAAATGCTAAAGCATATATCTTCATATGATCATTGAGTACTTTTGTTCTGAGGGGTATGATTCGTTTATTCAATTATTTATGACCGATTCTCCTGAACTTGTTCAGATAATATGTTTATCAATCAGGTGCCTGGGTGATGTATGATTCATTTGTGGATCAAACGTGATGCCCTGACTTTGTTTTCGCATAGTTTATGGCAATTGGCCCCTCCCTAATTCTGCTGAATTAAAATTTCAGGTACCCACGGAAAGCTAAGCAAGGGCAGCAGGACATGTTGCTGATATAGCCCGTGAGAGTTCTTGAGATTCACTCCAGCAGAAGAGCTAAGTGGAAGTATCAGCCTTGCTTATGGTCTTGGGGATAGTTAAATTTCGCCTGTAAAAGCTGACTTCCGGTGTTATTTCCTGAATGATAGAGAGAAACGAAAAGAGACATTTCGTTCTTTCCGGTAATTTGCCGTGCGCACTTTCTTCACCCGATCTGACTTCCCCCGTCCGTTTGTGGCTCACTCTCCAACCTGACCACCGGAGCCCAGAGGCCAGTCCCAAAGGATGAAGTTTATGGGGGCAGATCTCTGGTAGGTTGCCTTACAAATTTGTGTTGTTGATTATCTATTGTGCTTATATCTTGGTTTTGCGAGTAGTTGACATTCTAATATTTTCCCAATCAGCCGTCGTCATCCTGACGGAAGCATCCATTGTTACCATCTCCTCTGATGGTCTTTGGTAATCTTAAGATAGCTGTCAGAATGGATCTTGTGAGTCTACTTAAAACAGGTCTTTTGCGTTTCACGAGTAATAGTTGTCATTTTTTAATGTATTGTGGTTACTACGAGAAATATGTTGAAGAGGGCGCCTTCCCTAAAACGGTCGCACCGACAACATCGATGTCAACTGTTGCTTCCGTCACTTGTTGTGGTCGCACGTCCCATGTTGTCACCGACGCAAAAGACGAACAGCTGCCGGTAAAGAATGCATCAGAACGTGGTTACTGTCCGCTTCTCACGGCTTAATTGCCACCGAAGGTAACCCTTTGAGCCAACGCACTGTAGCATGTGGGGGTATGCATCTTCCCCGCGAGTGCATATACCGAACTGTGCGGGATCTCTCGTCTCACATACACCCACATGATATTTGAGTTGTACACGTGCCTATCCTTTTCTAATCCCTGCTGTGCGACGTCATAATGTAACGTCGCTGTTGCCAAAACCATGTGAGGAGCATGCTTGTTCGTTCGCCGCCGCTGTCACCAATCCCCTTCCCTTCTCATCCCTTCGCCATTATTTCTCATTGTTTCTACTATCCAGTTCGAACTTGTCGGCCGTCTCTCTACCCACTTGCCGCTCCTGTGCTTTCCATCTCCGGCGGAGGAAGCCAACCCACGTCCACCGCACATGGCTAATGGGATCCATATCGAGAAGGCGCTGTCCAGCTGCCTCGGGTGCGGCGGAGCCGCCGGAGGCTGGAGCAAGCTGCTTCTCCTCGTTGCCCTCGTGACGTCGGCGGCGGCGCTCTTTGCATCCTTCTCGTCCAACTTCGGCGTCTCCTTCTGGTTCTCGGCCCCTTCCTCCCTCTTAGCCTCCTACAGAGACGTCGTCGCCAATTCCTCCACCGAGGAGCTCGTTCTTCCCTCTCTGCCTCCTCCTCGCGCTTCTTCTCCGTCGCTTGCTCCTCTTCTTCCTCCTGCTTCTTTATCTCAGGACGTGGATACTTTGATAGGATCCCCTGTTCCAACCGCAACCCCTGCTTTCTTTGCTCCTCCTCCTTCTCCGGTCAAAGATGCCGATGACTTGGAGGTATATGCAGGTGAATATGACCCAAAGATGCCGCCTTTAGAGCCTGAGGTAATATAATGTTCGTAACTATTTGCATGGTGGACGGGTTATTGATCTCTTGTTCATACTTTGTAGCCCGCTCTTACTCCAAGCCCCGGTTTTGCCCCTGTTACGACTTCGCTTTCTCCTCCACTGGCACATCCTCCAAGTCCAGTTGTTAATTTCGCCGACACCAAGGTAACTCAGATTTCAGGCTTTTTCTTGGGATCCAACTGAAGTTGGAATGTGTTTAAGATAAGAGTTCGACACTTTTGTTTTGATTCTAGCGTCCTCCACCAACTACCAGTGTGCCTTTTCCTTCCCCAATAGAGACTTCTAATGCTGCGGAAGTGAAAGCAAGCAGTGTTTTCTGGAGAGAGGTAAAGTTCCAGCTTGCATCTTCCTTTGCTCTTGATCTGAGAAAAAGATTATTTTTCCCTCTTTTTTTCCTTTAATTTAGTTATTGGAATTGAGCCCCATTTAACTCTCTATGGTTTGCTAATCCAGACGGACCGGCAGCTTATGTACGCTAAGAGGGAGATCGCTAGTGCGCCTACTGGTTTGATCGACCCTGACCTTCACGCTCCGCTGTTCCTGAATGTTTCAATCTTTAAGAGGTGAGAACGGAGAAACTATCTTATTATCTTGTGATGCTCATCACATAATGGAGATTGAACTTTTTTACTAGTTCGTTTTCTTATTACTAGATCAGTTGTAGTCCCTCTCGTTCCTCGGAGTTACGAGCAGTATGCTGGCACGCTAGTTGAATGGCTGTTTACATGTCTAATTCACTTTCTACAGTTCATGATATATGTGTAGAACTTAGAAGAATGAGAGTAGTTCTTGCAACAAAATCCACCTTCCTTTTCCATCATATTAGAAATCTTTGCTCCAGAAGCTGTAACTTTTGGCAAGTTTGTCATGTGCGCTTGTAACCCTGTTGTTTTCAGTCGTCTACCGCGAAAGAGCTGGTTCTACCGGGTGATGACTCGATAAGATGTTTTGGTCCTGCGGTGGACACTATGCTTTAGAAATGTGCTGTATTCATTTTGGCAATTGCATGGCCTTCCGCTCGGTCAGGTTTCGCTAGATAACTACAGAATTCACTTTGTTTTGGACTAAATTGTTTGTTCGGTCGTGAAGTAAGATGCGCGTTGGCTATGGTTCAAACGAGCGAACATTGGTCATTAGGACTTGTTTGGAGAATTGTTCTCTCCAAAAGTTTCTCATAGGTTTACGATACATATTAGTCCTATAACTATACCATTTTTTTTTTTTTAATTATGGTTCAACTTGAATGTAATATACTTTCGAAGACAGTGTCGTGATAGGTTTCAGAATCAAATGCTTGCAGGAGCTATGAGATGATGGAAAGAATTTTAAAGGTGTACATCTACAAGGATGGACCGAAACCTCTTTTCCACACACCAGAGCTTGGAGGCATTTATGCTTCCGAAGGATGGTTTATGAGATTAATGGAGCAAAACAAGCAGTTCGTCGTAAAGGATCCAGAAAAGGCTCACTTGTTCTATATGGCTTATAGCTCGAGGCAGCTTAGAGCTCATCTCTATGTTCCTGATTCGCATACTTCAAGACCATTGTCAATATTTCTGAGGGACTACGTGAACATGATCTCAGCTAAATATCCCTTCTGGAACAGGACAAGAGGAGCAGATCATTTTCTTGTTGGTTGCCATGATTGGGTATGCCCTCTGTACTCTGTTATTATTTGATCTCTCCTTTTCGATGAATTCTTGTTATCCGAGATCTTGGCAGGATAGAAATAACTTGTCTGATGAACTACTTGCAGCCTTTCTAGTCTGTATCTGTTGCTTGGCCTTGATTTACTTCTTTGTGTGTGTAGGCAACTTACACGACCAGGATGCATGATGAACTGCGGAAGAACGCGATCAAAGCTGTATGCAACGCAGATGTTTCCGAAGGCATTTTTATCCGCGGAAAAGATGTGTCTCTTCCGGAGACATACATCAGAGCTCCCAAGAGGCCTCAGAGAGGCATCGGAGGAAAACCTGTTTCGAAGAGGTCTATTCTGGCCTTCTTTGCTGGACACATGCACGGCCGCGTTAGACCCATCCTTCTTCGACACTGGAGAGGGAGAGACCGAGACATGAGGATATACGAAGCCCTGCCTCAGGAGATTGCAAGCAAAATGTCATATGTCGAACATATGAAATCAAGCAAGTTCTGCATCTGCCCCATGGGTTACGAGGTGAACAGCCCGAGGATCGTGGAGGCCATCTATTACGAGTGCGTTCCGGTGGTCATCGCCGACAATTTCGTGCTGCCATTCGAACAAGTGCTCGACTGGAGCGCGTTCTCTGTGGTGGTGGCGGAGAAGGACATACCGAAGTTGAAGGACATTCTACTCGGAATCAGCCTCGGAAAATATACGACGATGCAGATGAATGTAAAGAAGTTGCAGAAGCATTTCCTGTGGAATGTTAAGCCTAGAAAGTACGATCTGTTTCACATGATCTTGCATTCTATTTGGTTTAACAGGCTGAATCAGATTCATGTCCGGTGATAATATTCATTGTAAATCCTTGATTAGATAGATCAAATTTTCTGATGTTGCCAATCAATATATTCGATTGCATGCCACATCAGCTTTGAAAATGGCACAAGAATAAGATTATATAAAGCATCTTTGAAGGTATGTTTTTGTTAGAATCTTACTAATTGAATATTTATGGGTTTTAAACGATATGCTTTCATGATCATTAGAGGGATTTCGTCTTAGACAAGAGATTTTGGATACCAATGGATTTCACATTGAAACAAAAATTAATTCATATACTCAACGATATCTCTCTTCTAAACGTAAACATGATAATAATGCCAACGGGAGAATGATGATTTAAGCTCTCATGAACTATTATCGAATCATGTTACTCTTGTATTGACTTTCTGGTATATTCTTTTATATTCTTTTGACTGTTGATCTTTCCGTATTTTCTTTTTGTCTTAGAATTTTCTTCTCTCTCCCCAATAAAGTGATATTAGAGTCCAAAAAATCCAATGATTAGAGATTCAATAAAGATGCCGTTAGTTGTTTCTACTAGCTTTACAATAGAGAAATTTGATGAAAAACATAGTTTTATCTTATGGTAGAAGAGGATGAAGGATCTTTTGTTCAATAAAACCTACTAAAAATGTTAAAGGGACAGAAAAGCAAACTAGAAAAGATGAGCTACTGAGATTTGGAGGAGCTTAGGTAAAGTGCATAAGTATTATTTGTCTTTGCATTGTGGATAATATTATCAATAATATTATTGATGATGACTCCATCGAAATTATTTGGAATAAGTTAAAAGAAAACTTATTTAGCAAAAATCTTAGCCAACAAATTATATCTAAAGTGAAAATTATAGATGAACGAATGAGAAGACTTTGTTGAGCATCTAAACAAATTCAAAGAAATATTCGATCATCTAAAAAAGGTTAATGTGTAGATTGATAAAGAAGACAAGGCATTGTTGCTTTTTACATCATTCACTCACTCATTATGATAACTCCGTGGAGATGATTACTTACTATAAATAATATAGTAACCTTAGAATAAGTTAAAATATTTTTAATATCTTATGCTAATAAGAAAAAAGATAAATCTGATACGAGTAGATCAATGAGAAGAATATTCTGATAGGAGTAGATCTTAGGTCAATATCAAGAGTTAGGTCTTTGGATGATGTTTAATATTATATATATAAAGAATACAGACATATAAGATAAAATTATCTGAGAAAAAAAAAAGAAAGAAGAGGTCAATGATCTTTATGATGGATGGTGATGAAGATATTCCATAATTTAGATTCTGATTGTGTTGCTTTCAAAAAAAATTTATTTTGAATCATTGAATGATAAGATGACTAGTAAGTTAAGTTTGAACAAGAAAAAAATATTTCTGGTGGTAAGATGGTGAGATGCGAGTCTTTGGGTTTATTAGAATCAAGTGGATGGATCATAAACAAATTCAGTTTATGCTTCATCTTCTAAACGAGGCACAAAGTGAAAAAAATATTCAAGAGATTATTGAGGTTAATAAGTATTTTTAAGAGTCATAATTATATTTAAATTAATTGATAAAATCTTAAATAAATCAAAATTCCTTAGTGAATTGAAATTTATTTTTATAAAAATATATTAAGTGTCGAAGTTTTGATTGAAGAAATAGACAAGAAACTGAAATATAAAAAATGAAGAAGGAAAATTATAGTTGAGTGAAAATTTATAATTGATTGAGAATAATTTGATAACCTTATAAATATTAAAAATTTTAATTTTTCATAAAAATAAATAAAAATTTATTAAATCATATTAATTTTATGTCAATTTTTTAATATATCTTTTGATTCACCCTCCCCAACACTTTGGCAAGTTCGAAGAAATTGGACATGCCGATCACCTTGCCGAATCACAGACGGATCACTGGTTCTAAGATAAAACAAAATTGGAGGCTCGCACCCACCACAAATAGAATATATACTATACTGAAAAATCACACGGAACTCATAAGGCCATTGAAGTAGACTTTGTGCGTTACATGATAAAAGCTTGCATTAATGTTGCTTCTAAACTCGTGAGTGGCCTCTCTGTGCTGCGCTCAACACTAGAGGAACACACGGGAGAGTCTGATGAAAAACCACAAAAGGTCCTTTGATTCAGGAGCTAAGAAAAATCGACATCCTAAGTTTATATCCAAAAATAAATAAATAAAAATGTTACTCACGATCAGGTACTCGGTACTCGTTCGACGTTGCAGGACACGACTGGGACGATTATATTTGGAGGAACCTGAGAGACGACCATGTGCACTCCACTCTCAACGTCCCCGAAACTGTCAACACTGCTGCCACCACCAGCGTTCTCACCCCGTACCGGGCGAAGCAGCCCCTGCAGCCGCAGGAGATAACTCTGACCTGCAGGTTGGGATCGCACATACCGAGTGGCTGTTGTCACTTCGCTGGGAGAAGGGCGCTCTGAATCCGCTTGGAGGTTGGAGAGTGCACTCAGGTCAAGGTTGGGAAACACAGAGCACCGGCATCTGGGGCACTTCACATTCAACCGCAACCACTGGTCGATGCACTCGACATGGAAGTTGTGAGCACAAGGCAGGCCTCGGACCTGCATGAATGCAAATTTTCAAACTTTAGGCTAATAAACGAAACTTCCATGCATCCTAGTGATGTTTAATACAAATGCTGCTAAAAAGAACTGTTAACATGGAAACATCGGTGCCCTCATTTCCATTTGTTTTTCAGGTGAAATAAATAATTTGGAGTTTGTCTTTGAGTCATAATCACTAAGGTAAAACAGACATTCGCTTTCAGTTTAATACCATAGACAATGTGATGACAGCAATGGTTTCTGTTTTGATCATTTTTACCTCATTTCCAACTCGAAATTCTTCAAGGCAGATAGGACATTCACTGCAGTCAGTTGGGACACCCTTCAACCGAAACTTTGGAAGTTCTTGAATAAGTGCCTCCACTGCTTCTCTCTACAAGAGATTTTGCAGAAGCTTAGAAACACCATGGCAATTAGAAGCACTGTCATAAGTAGCAAAAAAAAAAAAAAGAACCTCCAGAGCACCTGCAGTCCATCCAAAATTTTCTTGTTTTTACATCGATATTTGAACAAACATCAGGAATTAAATTATCAATTTGTAGGACCATATCCTTCCACTCTCAATTACTCATTAAAATTACAATTAATAACTGTTAATCTTTACCAATTAACAACTCCAATTTCCTATGGTAGACTTCAATAAATTCTACCATAAACATCAAGATAGATACCAGCTATATCTCTCTTTTGTCCTGGAGCATTCTAGTACCTGAATGCTTGCTCTAGTACTTGGTCTAAAAGAGGGCAAGTATACGTTATCCAGTTACAGTCTACCATTTGATTCTGGAAAGAGAGATGCCCAATGGGAAGAATGATACTTCTGCAGTATCGAGACTCCATTATGTTAGATGCAACGCAGTTTTCCAGTCACAAAATAGTATTTAAAAAGTGGTCCATCAACTTGGTGAGTCCTTATCTTGACAATTATGAGCTAGAAAGATGACAGTGTTTATGACAATTAAGATGAAAAAGGATATTTCTTTCTTTGCCATTTTGATAAGAGTACCTGGGCTGCTGTCAAATAAAGTCCTGGATGATATGCAGTATCTTGGCCCATTCCTCTCATTTCCTGACCAGCAGCTTCAAATGCCCAATCAGGCACACGTATCATGTCAACCAGAACCTGAACAATAAAAATGTTACAAATGCATGTCTAATTTAGATAAACAGGAAAGAGAAGAAAGACATTAACTTTGAGCAAGTTTGCCACAACATAAGACTCGTTCTTTTAAAACATACCTTATACTATAAAATATTAGATCCTCCTAATTCTAATGTGAGACAAAGAGATCTCATAATATCTTCCCCTTAAGACTTGACGTTTTTGTTAAGGCTCAAAACTTGAGATATAGTATGAAATCACAAGCCATAATAGATGACATATGAAACTCAATCCAGTCGCAATTCATATCATGATGTTACTAACTTAATTAAGTCTATAATCATACAGAAAAATGCATAAGCTCAAGCCAGTAATGTCAAGTTAGAAGAGTGAGGATGACTATGATTAAAGTCCAAGATACAATTGCTGTGTGATTCTAAGCAAATTCAAAAAGTGTAACCCAAAATGTGTATTTAATAGATGGTTATATGCAAGAGGGATAAATAAACCCATGTATATTACTAAAACTTTTAATGCAGCAAGAGGTACCTTAGTTTTGATAAACATGTTTCCATAATCATCTATCCATTTACCCTAAGCGCACGCAATCTTTGAGTCACCAATGTAAAAAACTTTATTAATAGATAGTCAGTTGCTAGAGGGATAAATCCATTTATTAATATAATATACAATGATAAAATATAGTCACAGAAATCAACTAAAATGAGATTAGTTTACCCTACAATATTACTCACATGTGAAAGTTGCTAATATGGCAATACAATCATTTAATAAAAAAAAGATGTAATGTAGTTTCAAGTGCACAGATTGTTGATATTTGAAGGGGCTGGTCAGAACCAAAAGACTCGTAATCAATAAATAACCTGCCTGACAAAATAACAATACTACATCTGAAGATACTAAAATTGTACACATGTTACTTAAATCACATAATTCACATAATGACATTACGGAAAGCATACTGGATATGACTTGAAAAGGAAACTAGCACCAGAAACTACTTTTCTCATATTTAAATACAGACATCATGGTTTTAAGGGTTCCTAATAATAAATTAATTGTACCTTCTTAAACCACTTATTTCATTTTTAGTGCATAAGTGTTTTACCTCATAGGCTCATGCATCTGTACCAAGTCTTGTTTCACCAGGAAAGTAGTATCATGAAATGGTAAATAGAAGAAACAGAAAGCCCTGAAAAATACCTAAGGTGCTAGGCATGTTACCAGTTATACTTACCCCATATTCTGATATTGGAATTCCTTGTTGTGCACGCAGTAGGTGGGCATGTCTTCGTGTCAGCCACTGCAATAAACATCAAATTTCAGTTATGGATACCGAAGGACCAAACATGAATGCATCAAAACCCATCTTAATCACATCCTGCATTCAAGACATGAAAAATGAAAGACCAGACAAATGACACAAAAATCAATGCACTATAATCATTCATGAAAACAACATCACATATAAAGGTAATTTATGATTTGGGAAATAGCAGGCATGATCAATCATAAGAGTAATTTTTTAAAAGGAAACATGAGAAAGGATGTTGCCCAACATAGGAAATTCAAGAGAGAATGTAACAAGTGCTTATCTCCATTCTGTTTGAAGTGATATCATGCTAAAAACAGAAAATGAATACAGGAAATCATCAAGATGTTTTCAAGAGAACAAAACAGATGATTTAAAAAGAACATTACTAGGAATCAAATGTTTCAGAGAGTTAAAATTTGTGTCATGGCTTGCAATGGTATCTGCCTTACGATTATTAATAAGGATACTGTTAGGTGTCATAGCCAAGTTCACCTTTTTCGACAAGCAGATGCCCATCTCCACAGGTTAAAAAAATGAAGCTTATTTGCTGTCAAAGACTAGCCAACTAACAATTAGGCATCAAGCGTTTTCTTACCATCAACCTGAAATTGTACCTAAATAAACTAAGAATGACTTCCAAGTAACAATTAATTAAAAAAAACCACACGCATCTGCATACCATTGGTATTTCATCTAACAATAGGTATACTATCAACAGGTAGAACATAATAAAACTATAAACATTGGTCTGATACACACAAAAAAAATGAATTCATCTATTCAGGAAGCCAATTCAGCATGCATAGAAGATCACCAACCTTCCCTGCAGACATACATGCTATGCATACTAGCCCACAATAGCTGAAGAGCAACCAAATAAGAAAGCCCCATTTTTGGCCTTCCTCTGGTAACTGCAGCAATCAGAAAATATAGAGCAGAAATCAGTAGCTGGTGCTCACATTATATCTTGAACTACCCATATAAGCATTAACATTCAAGGAAAAAACTCACGCAGCTTCTTGAACTAGTGAACCACAATGTGCCAATCACTGTCCAAACCCAGAGAAAAGGATAAAGAAGTAGAATGAGGACTGAAAGGACCACCACTCTCCCACAAAAACGAGCATATCTTTGTTGTGATCCAAGATCTCTGAAAGCACATAATACATGAAGAAGCTATCTGACATAAATATTTTCCAAGCATGAAGATGTTAAATGTATAACCAGTTTCATAGTAATTGCATGCTCAGAAGCAACCAGAGTATCTATACTAGACCACATCCTATCATAAATTGAAAATGAACGTCCACTGGGTATTTGAGCCGTATATGAAAAAGTTTCAGTAATTTAGTGTTTTGAACTGCATCCATTGCATATACCCAAGAAAGAAAAACTATGTCTGTCTTGCAGAGAAGTCCTTTTCAATTGAAAGAATAAAGAACATACTATGCTTGGTCATGTGTTTCTACTTGAAGTACCACATACCTACACTTGGAAAGATATAAGTAGTATTATTAAAATCGTTGGCAATCAATAGAAATTGTAGTAATATCATAATTAGGAAACTCAGACGATCATGATGTTCATTCAAAAGAAACAGAAAATATGTTTGACAAACAGTACGGGCTTTGGTGCTTACAAACCCATTCCTGCTGCAAGTCCATTGTCCACAAACATTAGCAGCCGAAATATGAAGACAGTGGTATAGTCAACCTGGAATCAGGCCTCCTTTAAATTCATTTGCAAACGTTACACTGGTCTCTGAAAGATGAAAAATTATAATGTTGTCTAAAACTCACCACAATCCATATGTGCAAGGGATGTGTGCATAGATGGTAGCGCTTCCAGTTGATCGAGACAATTATTCTGACAAAATTCCGTCAAGAAACACAAGTAACTCTACTAATTCAAGAATAAATCACAGCATAAATCGCTCGAACTAGGCACAAGGATACACGCTCGTGGCCAGCATGGACAAGAAGAACCCATCGTACCTGCAGATGATCAAATACGAAGAACAAATCCAATAAAAACAGATGGTACTTCCAGCAAGCAAAAGATCCAACTCACCACTTGAAATCGACCCCCCGCATCGCCATGGCGCGATCGTCTCATCTAAAACCCTAGATCTACTTCAATAAGCGCCTCCATTCCTCCATTGCAAGCCCCAAACGGAAACCAACAAAAATCCTCACGCGTTCCTTCAGAGATCGAGATCCAAAACCCACCAACACTGAAAGAAATCACCAAATCGAAACCAAAACACAAACAAGAGTGATCAAAATTTCGAGATCGAAGTGGAGGGGGGACCGAGAAAGAGAGTGCGGAACCGAAGTGCCTCCGCGCTTTACCTTTCAGAAAAGCATACCAGGTGGTAGACGTGTGGGAGAATCGATGTGGTCGAGAGGCCAACCCAACATTGTTCCCAAGAGACGCTTTTAAGAGCTCGCCGTGAAGCCAAACCAGCCTATGACATGAGCGCAGCCGTCCCCGAGACGACCACGTGACCACGTCTTACGCTTCACCTCCATTTGGTACGGAGATGAGATGAGCCGGTGACGGTGGGAGTGACAGCAAAATTAGCCATCTATTGCACATTAGACCCACCAAAGTTGGTCTGGAAAGATGGCTGGGACCGAATGGTCCATTCCCTATTGATTGATCCATGTGGGTTCAACGTTGAAGGAGCGCGTGTTCGACCTCCCGCTTGATTGTTCTTCGAGAAGAGGTTATTGATGCGGCGGGGGCATCTGTTTAAGCCGTGGCCTCGGGGCCGTCGCGGCTCGGTTCGAGTGTCCGGATGTCGGGGATCTCGGGCTCCATCCCTCGGTGTCTCCCAAAGGCCGAGCACGGTGGTTCAGGTCGGGAGGTCGGGTCGGGTCGACAGGAAGGTCCGTCGCAGCGCCTGGAAGAGTCGACCCCCTCTGGCACCTGCACAAAGGTCGGGCCGAGCGCCTCCGACGGCCAAGTTAGCGATGTGGAGAGGGTTTTGGAGGAAGAGATGCCTCCATACAAGTGTTGTGTGTGAGTTCGTCCCCCCCTCCCCTTTAGCGTGCGAGGGTATTTATAGGGAAGCTTACTGTGCCTGATGTGCCCCCTTGCAGGGGCAGGTAGCGTCTGACACTGGCGTTAGCGTGACGAGGGAGACCGAGCCTGGGCAGAATGTTTAATGTGCCTCGGTCGATGACCAGGTGCTGAGGCGTGATGCGTCATCTGGGATAGGTGACGTCAGCCTCAGTCTTGTCGCCATTATTTTCCTCATCAGTTATGTCGCCATTATTTCCCTCATCAGTTATGACTGAGCCAGGTTTCGTGGGGGTACGGCTTTCAATCTGGAGTCAATGTTCTTCAGGAAGGATCACTTTCAATCTCTAATCTGTAGGAATACATACATACTGTTTCTTTAATCTCAAGCAACGCGTACAAAATATCCATCATCTTTCGCGAAGAACGAATATTCCAGCACCCGTGTACGACGAACACAGGAAGATCGGAGAACCATCCTCGTTCCGTTGACGGACTGCGACCAAATAATATGCTTGAGAATTAAGCATACAAATATAAGATTAAAAATGAAAATTATGTCACGTCGTGACTAAGAATCCTGTAATAAACAAGCACATCGCATATTGGAGGAAGACAAAACGACCCTCGTCGTGTGAGTGCAGAATTTAAAGAATAGAACAGACAGAGACTTGGTATGCTCGTTCAAATCCTTCTAGGCGTTCAAAATTTAGCCTCCAAGGCTCACCACCGTCAATCTGGATCCTCCCCGTACTGGATCACCGTCCATCAACTCTGCAGGTGTCTGATGGAGTTCGATCTCATATCCGTGGAAGAGAATGATGGTACACTAGAATCAACGGTTTAAACATGTTCTTCTATGGAACCGACGGTGTGGATCAACTAATAGCGGTCTCCGCGTGAACGAGTCGGACGTGATCGATGGGGGAAGCGGACCGCCCCGGTCCGGTCTCCGGTCGCTGGAAATTTCGTGCCACGACGGTTCCTGGTGCGTGAGCCGTGTCTCACGGTCTTGAGTGGCAATTCCGTGAATCCAAGCTCTCGCCTGTGGCGTTTGATGAAGTTTCCTGTTGATAAAGAGAGGGGGACGTTAAAATTGCTCCCCTTCTCTCTCCCCGAAGCCCCCCGTCTCTCTCTTTCACTCGCTTACAAGAAAGCAGAGCTCCGCGCTTGGATTCGTTTCCCTCTCTCTTTTCTTCATCTGGATCTCTAGGGTCTAAAGATCCGATTATTGGTGTGCTTTCCCCGATTCGATCTCGTTGTATGCTTGATTAGAGGTTCTTGTACTTCTCTGATTCGGGCCCAACGCTGGGAGAGGCGTTTCGGGAATTCTGACGCATGAGAGCCTACGGTTTGGACCCTCGGAGGGACGCCTCCGGCGGCCGACGCGACCAGCTGCCGCCGACTCCATGGTTACCTCCCATGGAGAGCGGCGGCGGAGGCGCGGGTGGGGTTGGGAACCTGACGGACCGGTTTTTTAGGTTGGGCTTGGGTGCCGTTCCCAATGGGAACCTGCATCAAGTCATGATGGCGGTGGAAGGCGCGGAGAACACCATCAAGAAACAGGTCTGTTGGCCGTGCTTTCTGATTCCACAAGAATTATTCTATAAATCATGGTTTAATCATACGGTTGAGCGCCTTGGATATTTGTGCTTGTCGAATTCTTAAAATTCTCCATTTTTTTATCCCATAGCATGGAGTATGACAATAGTTTATTTCTGATGTGGGTTTGTCGTTGAGATTATTAAATTAGTCGATATATCGTATGTTATAATCCTCTTGAAGGCTTACTTGAGCAAGCGTGGTAGTCATGTTGAAGTCGTGTGTGGATAGAGTTTATCTGCTTGAAATGGATTTTGTTGAGGTGAAACAAGTTTCATACTGAGATGCTGATGATGCAAGAAGATGATGACCTGCATGAAAATTGTAACGTTTAGAATTTGTTTATGAAAATCAGGATGACGATGTCATGGATTAGAGTAGAGAAGATTCTAATACTGTCCGTTAATCTTATACTGGATATGCTATGTGATGCAGAAATTGTAGTTCATCACCCATATCTCTAAGAATAACAGGCTTAATATTTTTGTGTCGGGGGCAAGACCTATGTAGTATTGAACTCAATTTTGTGTTCGCAATGCCTCATTTTCTGTTAGGCCATTTATTTTAAGTTGTGAAACATTTTGATAATTTTGGTTCTAAGGAACATGAACCATAATCTTTAATGATGTAGGACAACTAGAGGATGACATAAAAGCAATAATCAATATTTCAAACATGTAATTGGGGTTTAAAAGGAAGCAATAACTTCGAAACATCTTGAAAAGGATGCCAAGTGCGGATTATCGGCCTCTAAATGAATGCCTTGCACAACTGGTATGTTTATAGACAGTTGACAGGATTCAAGATATTTTAGGTCAGCCTAAAATCAGGATGACAGAGACAAATGAGGTAATAACTGGCACTTGCTTGCTTGCCTTCTTACCTATAATTGAGGAAGCCTTGTGGAAGTCACCTTGACTTTTGTGCTGTGAAATTATGTAAGTCCCTTCTGAGATCTTAAACCCTTTCCTTGTTTTAGCATTTTTGTTTTTTCATCACTGTTGATGATGCTTTTCTTTGAGATCTTGTTGGACAGTGGCCAAAATCAAATAACTAAGCCTTGAAAAACTAATGATAGAAAACAATGATGAATATTTTTGAGATCAGGCATTTGATAATGGTCGTCAACTCTTCAATTATCGACTGTAAGATCTTCAATTGCATTCCGACGAGTGTAGCAATACAGTGATAAATGGAGCTTTGTACAAGCAGACTTGCGTCATGATTTTTTAATTCAACTTGATCTTGTCCTTGCAAGGATTGAAGGACTGGATCAGTTTCAGCATTAGATTGGATTGATCATACATGCAATTTAAATTGGATTTAATTACTGGATTGGGTTACTGAAATGGAGTTCTAGATAAATACATAAATATCTATCCAAAATCTGGAAAAAAGTAAAAGAAAAAACAAAACAGGAAAACTAAGAAATGTAAGCACGAGTCAAAATTGCATGAGGTTTCTATCTGGCTGATAACACTTTTGTGGTACATGATTTTGTCCAAAACATGATAGTAGAATACAAAATAAATGTACTTGTTAATTGGAAAATCTCAATTCCAAAGCTCATGCTTGTAGTTTCTTATACTTTGGAGATGCTTGATGACTACAAAAATCTACCAACAACAACAAGCCATAATATCTCATCTATTTGGGGTTGACTACATGGATCATTTGTTGCCACTGAGCTTATGACAAAACATTATCTTGACTACAAAAATTTAAGGGGAGTTTATCATTACCCATTTTGGCTGCTAAGGGGAAAATTGCTTGCAGTATGATAGGATGACATTTTGTGCCCTTATCTTGCTTTCCCCAAGATGGATTGGGGTGATCCAGACCAATGTTTGGACCTGATGATTTGTTTAATTGTACTTTGATTAGTCCAGGATCAGTTGAACCAGATTAAGATCAATCAAGCATTTTTAACCTATTTCTTGGTTGTTGATATTAAAGGTTGTCTTTTCATAACCCATCCTGATAGTTGACAAATTTGTGACAACTCTTTGGGATATTCTTACCTAGCTAGTCTCACTGGATCTGGAGGGGTTGTAGACATGATATTCGAGTGTCAGCAAAACTCGAAATTGTTGCAGATACCAGTAACTGAAATATAAGCATAATTCCTTTTCATTGCCACCCAATAAAAATTGGACTAATGTCAGATTTCTACAGAGACGTGACATTTCAAAAGGAGCCAATTAGACACTTTGAATCTTTCTGCAAGGCATATATGTTTTTGCTAACAACTTCATCTTACTTATTTATCAATTGCTTATGATTTTATTCTCATGTGTGCATGTGTGTGTGTGTGTATATTGAAAATATTCCAGAATAATGCTAGGAGTTCATGTTTGAACTCAGCGTTCTTTTATTTTCCTCTTGACACCTATTAGAGAATTTAGCTCTTATTAGATTTTTACTAAAATAACTGCTTATCTCTTGATTATGAGATTCATTTTCAGCAATGCATGCAATCAGAAACTTCATTTTTTTAAGTGGTGCTGTTGTTTTGCAGTTGGAAGAAAACAACCAATTAAAGAATGAGCTCCTACGAAAAACACGAGAATTAGAGAGAGATGTAGGAACTCTGATCCACATTTCTTTTCAGGTTTATCATCCCAAGAGTTTGCTTGTATGTGTGGTCTTTTGAATAAGTTACACATCCCTAGTACCATTTTGTTATGAATTCATGTGTTGACTGCAAAAATTTTAATTCTCAAGGATAGAGTTGGACTCAAATCTGAGATTGGCTACACCAAGCATGGACTTCTTTGCATGAGATTCTGACTTTAAACCATCAATAGTCAATCATAGTAGGTATCAATAAGTTCTTAGATAACCTTTGTGGGTGCTTAACCTTCTTAAAGTGATTTGCTGAAAAGGAACCAGTCTAGCCTTTTCAATGAAAGTTTAGGTTAGTATATGACAAGCATGATATGCTTACGAGGTTGCAAAAAAACCTTTGACCATTTGATATTGCTAGGACTGCAAATATTGACTTTTTTACTAAACCATTTTCAGTATAATAAATTAATAATACTAAATATCTAATATTACTTAGACTTTTTTGTTAATCTTTGCTTGCCACTTTATGATTTATAGTTACTACTTACTAGAGCCACATATGGTCAGAAAAAGAACTTTTATTATTAGCAACAAAATGATAAATGCTCAATGGCAGGTGCACAATATTCATTTCTCATTGTTTTCTTTATCTTAATTGACACAGTATTAAAGCATAATATTTGTTGGTCACAAGGTCCAACATGCAACCATGAATTTCACTAATGGTGACAACTAGTAACCAACGAACTACCTAAATAATAATCTTAATGTTCTGAAGAAGTTCTAATCATAACCACACTGGTTTGCTTGAAGGTTGTCATAGAAACAAGAGTAGGCAGCTCTGGCTGTTGCAGCAAGATGCATATTACTAAGGTTCATTGTATGCTGTTCTCATGTCTATGAACCATTTCTTGTTTAACTGTGTTATCCCTCTTGAGGATTCTGTATAACAGTATAGGAACATATGATATCTGCTTTTAATTCTGTTTGTGCTTATTGTAAGAAACTTCCATAGATTGCATTTTTTTTTAATACAGTCCCATGTCCTATCCAGTGATTTAACATGTTGCTAATATTATCATTCTTGGATATTATTCTTATATGTTGCTTTAGTATACGTGTGAGTCTATCATATGCTTATCAAGTGGATAATTTAAATCTATATGGACATATATGCTGTTACTTTGATTTAGTAGTAAGAAGTTATATGTGATCTATTGTTCATCTAATTGGAATACATGGCCTGGAAAAACCATCAACACTTGATGATTTTATGCCATCTTTCATTCGTCTCTTCCATTAATTGTTGGAAAAGTGATTAAGAAAACACATTCATGCTTGATGCCCTTTGTAGACCTGATTTGTGTAGATATGACCTTTTTTCCTTTTTTGTCAGAGATTGAATGCTACGTCATTAAAGCCTTCTGAGGTTTCAACAAATGATCATGTGGAAGGCTATGAACCCCATCATTCTAATTCTTCATCTGGAAATGAAGCAGAAAGGAACAAATGGATGGATAATCATTCATTGAATTCTCAAGGTATCCTTCTGATCCATCAGAATGGATTTTCTGGGAGGGAGGAACGTTTTGTAGAAACTAGCACAAATAATCAGCAACTTGGGAGCAACAAGGTTAATGGTGATCTTAAAAAAATCCCTCTAGTACGGTTTGGTGTAGAAGGTGCTGGTCCATCTCAGGACTCTACACCATCATCTAGATCCATTTCTCCAAGCAAGTAAGTTTATGTACATCATGTAATTTTATGACATCGGTTATACATGTTGAATCCTTGCACTTAATCTTGAACAAATATATAATGTAAGGTGTAATTTTAACACCCTTGATAGGAATCAAAAAGATGGAGAACATGAAAAAAGGTTCAATTCTTCTGGAAATGGACTATTGCCAGTGTCTGATACCAGCCCAAATATTCTCTGGAAACAGGTACTATCATTTACTCTCAACTCTCAAGTGCAAATATTTATGTGATTCCAAGTACTTATTTATAAACATAAGACCTACTTTTTTAAAGGAACTCATTGTCAAGGTTAGAAAGCATGAGGAAGAGATTGCTCAGTTAAGGAAGCATCTCACTGATTATTTGGTTAAGGTCAGGAAAGCATGTCACAGTAATTGCAATCCTTTCTCTCGGTGGCTGTCTTATCGTTAACCAATATTTTGGTGCACTTTTAATAGGAAACACATATATGCAATGACAAATATGTTCTGGATAAACACATTGCTTATATGCGTACGGTAAGCAAGCTTTTCAATTTCCTACATTTGATAAATAATATTTTTTTAACTTATCATGACTAAAAGTCTAAATATGTCATAATAAATGTTGCAGGCATTTGATCAGCAACAGCAGGACTTGGTTAATGCCGCATCAAAAGCTATTTCTTATAGACAAGATATTATAGAGGAGAATATCCTACTATCCCATGCATTACAAGTATTGTTTCTCACTTCTTTTTGGTTTGTGAAGTTTCTTCACCCATGCGGCACTGGGGACATTTCTTCTCTCCAGTACCAATAAATTACAGTTATTGCTAGAGATATAGGATGGGTTTTTTTTTCCTTATTCTTCTAAATCTTGAATATAATTGGATAGCTGATATCAAGTTGAATGGTCCAATTGAGTTTAATTCCATTTGGAATTTGGCTGAACCTGCTTGAGCTTTGGTTGGAATTGATTGTGATTGACCATTTCATCGACATTTTTCACAATTACTATCTACTCCTTTTGTTTTCCAAATTCTCAAGTCCTAAAAGAAATATATTGTTTACACTTCATGCTCTTGTCCTATATATATTGTATCAAAGCATTTGATTTTGTCAGCATGTCCTATCATTAAAGCTGATTTGTAACTCGAGGCAAGGTTCTATGCAGTGAAAGCATATGATGCTCATTTTATTTTATTCTGTTTTGAATAAGTTTTATTAGTTTATGAGGGTCTTTGCAAATATTATAGATCTTCTATGTATCTGCTTAATTACTTTTAGAGAAGAAAACAAAAGTCAAAACAGAAAAATGCAGATAAATATCAGTCTTAATTATACGGAAAGAAGTTTGGTACTTATCCTTCCATGGTGCACTACCATTGATTGTACATGAGGCACGTGTGCTACGAGGCCTGGATCCCTATATGTGATGCCTAAGAATTGGAGTGAGTTTGGCTTTATCCTACCCTTCTCTTAAAGCTCTTTTATTTTTCATGATCATCGTTCACCATTACTATCTTATCCTTCCTCTCTTTTCTTTTCCACATCTTCAAATCCTAGGGATTGGTTTTTTGTGCTCAGTGCTCTTGTCCTATGTCATTTTGATATCAGAGCATTTGTCTAACATTAAGAAGCTACTAAAATTGGTTAGGATCACTTTGTTTGTTAAATCGTGTCTAACATTCTTTACTACGATATGTTGCCCTTTGTTTAGCTTCTATAACAATTTAAAACTCATGTTTGTCAATTTGAGTGTTGCTTTTATATAGGATGTATCGACTGATTTGCCTTAGTGTAATTTTCAACATTGATTATCAATAGTGAAATTTTGTGTTCATTTCTGTTCTCTATATAGGCAGCACATGCAGAGAGGTCAACTTTTGTATCTTCTTTAGTACCCCTTCTTTCAGAACATGGCCTCCAGCCTTCTATTATTGATGCTCAGTCAATTGTCAGTAATCTTAAGGTTAGTATATTTGGGCTTCTATACATTCATGGTCAGTATTTTTAGCAATAATCTCTGACTACCATTAAGGTTGTATGTTATGTAAAAGATTTTCACTCATTTGTTTACTTAGATTGCAAGTGCTTCTACATGATTTACTTGCTAGAGCTGTTAGGATCTTTCTTTTTAATGATGTAGACTGTGTGTGTTCTTCAGAGTTATGCTTGTTCGCCTTCTGGTTTTCTGTTAAATAATGACACTGTGGTAAAACTTGTGGGTGCTGTTTGTTGTTAGGCATGCACAAACATAGGTATGCATTTTATAACTTTAGACTGAGAAAACATAAATGGTTTTACCCAGTGTAAGATACTTTGGCTTATATGTTGGATGGACTTCTAAATATTCTCAGTCTGGTTTGTCAGTCATTCCAATTTGAGAGGACTAGAGAGATGTTCTGTTATGTTTCTTCTAACTTTTGAGTATATATTGCATTATTATTGATGTAATGGTGGTATGCTTTTGGTCTTATTTGTTCCTGCTGAGTATAAATCTTCTAGGTTCTGCGAGTCCCTTTTTTAATCTAAATCTGCCCTTTTGGAGAACTTGAGGAATATCTCAGAGTCTGTTAGAATCAATCCATATCTTTTTCGGACTTTGAGGAATAGCTTTGTTGTACATTCCAGGTCGTCCTTCCATTGATATTGAATTATTTACAAAGAAATAATTTAAATTATTATATTATTTGTTAAACAACTTAGATTTTAAGATTCAAATGAATCAAGTAATTGATCGATGGATATACCTAGTTCTATCATCAAAAAGAACGATAAGACTCCATGAAGAGTGGATCGGGGTCCTCGATCCTATGTATCTGTATATCAATTTGATATGTTTGTCAGACCCAATCCTAAAATTGATCCCATGACACAGTATACTGAGGCATCATATGTCATTGATATATCAATGTGGTGATGGTCATAGTCTGATCGTCGTGAACCACACGTGTCCGAGGTGGCTCTTGAGGTAAGTATGATTGTGGCATATATGGGTGAGAAGGTTAGAGAACGTCGAAACTTCTACTTTCGCCACTGATCTGATGCTCCATATCATAAGATCGATCACTATACTACTGCTCAAAGAAGAATGAGCAACTATCACCGTATTACTGTTGGTCATATAATTCTCTCCATAATACGATAGTTGTAAATATAACAAGTTCCACTCCATGTTTATGTCGTGTAGACTCTGTCGCATATACTCAAAATTATCAACCATCTTCCCTTTCCCCTTTCGTATATTAACTTGATCAGTATCTCATCAAGCTCCATGATCTGAATCTTGGGTAGCATGCATAAAATACTATTTCTTGGTCCTATTATACCATCACAAACATGTAAATACATGTAAATCACTTTAATATGCATGAAATACAAACATTTGACCTACTAAGTGTTTAATTTTAAAAAAATCAACATTAAACATACTAATCACAACATTAAAGGCATTAATGACTCCCTAATTAATACTATTGTACCATCATAAAGACCTCAAACAACATATTAGACACTGAGAATATAGAATAGGCTTAATCATTTTATAAATCATCAAAAATCGAGAAAAAAATACATACCTTTGATTAGAAAGTTCTTCTTCTAACTTAGGTGTTAATCCTTCCTAATTAGCCTCCCAAGCTTGATCCAATTCATAAGTCGCAGCTTTGTGGATTTTAAGAAAGTGTAGATGAAAGAATGAGAGATATATGTGGGTGAGAAAGTGATTGAGAGAGTAGATGAGCTAGAGAGAGTGAAAGGAGAGAGAATGATGGGGTAGAAAGGGTTTAAAAACCCTTTCCACTGGTTCAAACATTCAAATGGGCAGTTTTAATTAAATCAATCGTAGCCCGCGATTGGTATCTGTCAAAATCCGACCTTTACCGACTGGTACAGGTTGGGAACAAATCGGATTTCGACTGTTCCGATTGGTACAGACCCTGTATAGGGCAAAACGTGGTCATATAACATAGACCACCTAGTACAAGGTGGTCCATGTATCGGTCCCCTGTCGGACCAGTACGTATCACCGTACCGAGCGGTATATCGCAGCACGAGAGACCTTGGGTCAAATAAGCTTCTAAATTAACCCAGTAGTTAAGCTTTTAATTAAACTCTTTTAATCCTTAGTGATATGGGACTATCATAGCCATCCTCTTTTATCTCACATATATGAATACTTCTGGTATCTTCTCCTATTTGTGTGGATTGATTGTCTTCACCTTATTTTGAAAGGTTCAAACTCAGTCAAACCATAGCATGACTTTGGTCACCAGACGCATCTTGACTCAATTCTTTCTTTTTAATTTTTCTCTAATTCAGCTGGCTCTGATACCATGGCAGATATAAAATAATGATGAGTCCAAGTTAAATTGGTCAATGTTAACATACATCAGATTTCACAGTGATTTAATCCAAGAACTTAAGCTTCTAACTTGTTGGTTTGCCAGTAACCAATCTTTTTCAATCCTTAATTATATTGGACTATCCTCTTGGTCCATGTCCTTTCATCTCATATACATAAATATTATTTTCATGCAAGTCTATTTTGTATACTAGCATCATATGTTAAACATACTGTGTTCCTTGACCAACATTGGTGTGGTTTGGTATATATGTAAAACATTGAGTAACATGGTTTGGGTTGGATTTTCTACTTACTGTGTCTACTTCCGGGATTTGCTACTTTCTAATGTCAAATTAAATGATGGTAATAAAAAACAATTTTTCCTATCCTTACACTTCAAGACTTTTTTAGATATGGAAGTCCAAACTATTATACTAATTTTCAATGTGTTACCATGATATCATTAGATAATTTCATGACACTATTTATATAATGACTTTTTCTTATTCTATTTTTTATTCTTGTAGGTTTTGTTCGGACACATGCATGAGAAACTAATCATTTCTAAGGTACCTTCTTTCTATTTATCAAATTATGTAGTCTCTTAGGTAGATGTTAATTGTTGTTGGCCTGAGAAGTTCAGTATTGTGTCTGACATCATTTAAGTGCATCCAGCTTGTTATAGTAGAACGAACATCTTTTGGATGAAATTTTCTTGCACGTCTGAGGTTGCCTGACAGACAAATTTGTTCTCTCTAGGAAAAACTAAAAGAGTCTCAATACCAAATAGCTCCATGGTATGCAGAATCATCACATAATGCAGGCTTTCCTACACAATCACCTTCCCGTCCACTCAGTTCACAAGTTGCTGTTTCTGTATGTCATTTATATGTTTTCCTTTTAGTTTCCTTTTCTGTCTCTAGTATAACAATGTCCTAACTTGTTCTTTTTGTGTCAGAACAAGAATAACTTGGAAATTGTGCCACAGCCAGCAAATCCACATGCTCAAACTCCAATTTCTTCTTCCAATTTCCAAACAAGACTTTATTGGGAGGCAGTTGGAGACCAAAATCAGCAATTTAATCAAAGTAGTGTTCCGACAAAGAGTCTGGACCAGGATACTGCAGAAATATACACTCCTGTGAGGAGGTCAGGATTGATAATTTGACACCACACCTGAGATTCTCTTATCAAACCATGTTTCTGTTTGGCTGATCAAATTAAAGTTTTGCTTTGTTTTTTTGAATTATTCTTCACTGCTCGTATTTTTTCATCACCTGTTTTTTTTAGATTCTAAATTGTCTGAAAAATCATATTTACAACCTTTGCTTCAGTTTATTGTAACAAATCATGATTCCCATCCATTCAGTCAAGAAATACCCTCTAGTGACTAAATTTTCTTATGTTTTTCAAGTCAACTTCCTTTTTTGTGAGACATTGTTCTACCAGATTAACTGTTGTTCCTAACAGGATTTATATAATGCTTAATCCTGTGTCAGTGAGTTCTCTTTCATTAATCTTATGAATTTAGCTTACTGTGCTTCTTCTGATGTGCTTATGCCTTTCATCCATCTATCCTTATCACCTGCAATATTATTTTTTATCATTTAATTGCTTTCTAAATGATCTTATTTTATAAACTCAAATCAACTGACTAGAGTGACGATTATTCTTGTAGCAGAGATCCATGTATCTGTGTTGTTTCTAATTTTTTGACATTATCTTGATCTATTGTCAAATTCCTTTTGGTATATTTTCCTGATTTTCTACATGGAGTTGCATATATCATGAAGATCAAGAAAGTGATAAGTAGCATCATGCTTTATTTTTGAGGGAATGGAATGTTACAATTTAAGGCAGATATAGCTTCCTTTTCTTGTGCAATTTGAAATCTTACTGGATTTTCTTTCTGAAATTCTTCTCAGGATCTGAATTCAACATTTACAAAATGCATTCAGGCCCAATTTGAAGAATTTAAAAAAAAATCCTTGTTGCATTCAACTTCATGGTAGAAACATTTATTGTCTTGTTTGTTTGCTAGTTGTCACTTTCTATGCCTAATAAAAAATTTTCATTATCACACATAAACACATAAATGGTACTTTTATCTTCCTTCAATTATTGTTATGATGACTCTTCTAAAGAAGATTTGTTTAAATACCCATGATAATTGAAGCAATTCAGATGCCATTAAATACACACATTGAGGCACTTAATTCACTACCTTGTTATATAGTCTGGTGGTGTTTGTTTTTTCAGGGACCCAGTTGACCTCAGATGCCATTGAATACACACAATGAGGCACTTAATTCACTACCTTGTTATATAGTCTGGTGGTGTTTTTTTTTTCAGGGACCCAGTTCACAATGATGCTTCAGCTCAAACAAATTTAGATGTCACTCATGTTGCACTTCTTGAGTCTAAAAGTCAAAGACCATCTTTTAAGCACCTTGTTAAAAGTGGCAAGACTGATGATCCTGAGATGGTTGCTCTTCAGCATGGAAAAGAACATTCTGTACACTGGGCTCCTGGAAACTCCTATTTACCATCTGGACAGGATGTACAGAACTCTTATTCTTTCCTTCCAACAGTCTATGAGGAGCCTAGTTCTTCATTCTCAGAAGGTATGAGACTTTTAATAAGTTTGTATCTATTTTTCAGTTCAGGTTCTCTTTGATGCTTTATTTCAGAATCCACATTGATGATCCATGGATTTTTTTTTTTGATAACTATGCAAATATGCAGCAGATGATGATCCCTTGCCAGCAATAGATAGCCTTCGAATTTCTGGTGAAGCTTATCCTGGAAGAGAACTTCAAGCAAGTGGGTACTCAATAAATGGAACTACAAGTTGTAATTTTGAGGTACATATTCTAAATCCTATGTTCATTGTCTTAATGAACATTGCATCATTTCTATTTTCGGTTGAAGTAACAATTTAGTGTTTTCAATTTTAATCATAACAGCAGTTCTTTTTTCTACAGTGGGTACGGTATTTAGAAGATGGATCTGTGAACTATATTGATGGTACAATGTTTCCTAACTTCTTTAATTGTGATTTTTATTTATTTATCCTTCTTCCAGGAAATTTGGAACTCTTACAATCTCTTTCTATCCTCTCTTGGTAGGTGCGAGACAACCCACTTATCTGGTTACAGCTGATGATGTGGACTCATACCTTGCCATTGAAGTCCATCCCCTTGATGATAGGAAGCGGAAGGTATATTTCTATGGGGTTTTTGTTTTGCAAATTTAGTTTGGTTCCATATTATAACTTTACAGAAACTAAGTCATACTCATGATATTATAGCCTGCATGAGTAGAAAGGAGTTTAAGGAATTAATACTAACTGATGACATTTATTGCTTGGTAATTGCAAAACGCATGGGCCCAAATGGGGAAATCTACAGAGTGCAAACTTGGTTTCCTCTGATTGCTGTTTGAATTCGATCTGTGGTCTGTGGTTAAGAGCTGTACAGACATCTTTGGATCATTTGGAATGAAATGTGTTTATCAAGGACATGGACCATATCTTTACATATAGACATATATTATACATCTTTACATACATATATACGTGTATATATATCATATATGTACATTGTTGTGCGTGTATATACATATAAATGGGGATGCAAGATTAATTTATATAGATGACCAACCCAAAGCTAAATACTAGCCATCTAATGAACTGATGTATGTTTTTTCCTTATTCCATTTAGGCTTTCTAGGACATGATTTTTATGTTTCAGATTGTAAATGTTTTATCATTTGGATCGTGTGATCAAAACTTGAATCATTTCCCTTAGTGATCTCTAGTAACTTGGGATCAAAACATCAATTATTCTGCATGACAGTGCATGTAAACTCAGAGGCTAAAGACGTTCATGATAACTCTCAAGCTTTGTGTTACAAAACTAATGTCATTTGCCCAAGTACATCAGGATGATATAGCAAATAAGCTTTGTGTTTATCAAAATATTTGTGTCCTATATGTGTTATATACTAGTCATGGTGATTTTCTGTAATCTAAAAGTAAGTCATTTTGTCTTACTGTAGGGTGAACTTGTAAAGGTTTTTGCCAATGAGCAAAGAAAGATAATTTGCGGTGAGCCACATTTTCCTATTGAGTTGGATATTTCTTCATAATTTTCTTATTAGAAGCCAATGCTTTATAACATATTTTTTACCACATCTTTTTTGTTCCCTACAAGTAGATAACTTAGCATAAGAAGCATACATTTGCTTCCAAATTATTTCACTTTATGAAACATTTATTTTTTGTTTTTGAGTTGAGATTTCTTTGACATTGCATAAGCCGGCTGACCAGGTGTGTCTCTATATGGCTGTAGAACAATGTTACCTATAATATATTTGTTGTCTAGAAATTGATAAATAGTCTCGAAACTATCGACATTTAGTTAAAGGTGATACATGGGGTTCCTAGAAGTCATGGGGCTCAAATTCTCCTGCAGTTTATTGTATCACACATTGTTATTCTTTGTTACCACATTGTGAAATTTCTTCTTCTCTGATAACGTCTGCATTTAAAGGTTTAACATTATTGATTCTTGCCTGTTTCTCTGACCTTCTGCTTTGTCTCATGTAAGTGGATTGGAAACATATGTTACTTGCATACTACTTTAACAGTTAATTCATTTATTTCCTCTGTTTTAGTTAAATATTATTGTGCCCCTGCAGTTTAGTTTGCCTTACTATTGTAATCTGCTACCTAAATGTTTGTGTGTCTCTTCAAAATGACACAATGTTCTATCTTTATGGCCATGCTAAGAATATAAATTCATGCTTCACTATTTTATCACAGATCCTGAAATGCAAGAGCAAATTAAGAGAACTCTTTCTGTTGGACTTGCATCATATGAAATTTCATTGTCGGTACGTTTGTGCTATCATGTTTTTCATCTTTTATGTTTGTTAGTGAAAAAACAACTGGATTAGCAAAGCTTCATATCTGAAGTGTTTCATTCATTAATTGCTAGGCTAAATTTCTTGATATATGGGAGCCTGCTGTTTTGGCAATAAAGAGAGAAGGTTACAGCATAAAATGTAAGGGGCCACGTGGCGGCGTTGTCATGGAGAAGTTTCAGCCAAATACTACTGTATGATTCTTCACATGTCTTGAGTTTGATTATTGAATGGGATATACAAATACTTTAGTACATGAATTGAATGATGCTTTATGTCCTCCATAAAACCCATGCTAAAGTGCAATGATAAAAAATGATATTCAAATTTAAGAAGAATATTCTTACTGATATAAATTTTTTTGCAGTGACTACAGAAAACTTTCCCTGCTGCATATCCTATCTGAAATATTGTCATGTTTATACCGTGTACAAAATGAACTCTTTTTTCCCTTTGATATGTGACATGAAACTAAATTATTCCAACAAGATATGTACACTGCAAATAATCAACTATTGCAGTACTGTGACCACAAAAAACTGTGAAAACATACACATGCATATATAGATTTCCTTTGATTTGTAATGATTTGGGATGTAATAGACATTAGCATTGCTGTTTTATTAAACTTAGTTGCATAACAGTAAGATCACCAGAAAAAAAATCAAATGAATCAAAATTTGATGCATATACTACAGAATAATTACTAGCAATATTATACAGAATTGTGTCTTTGTTGAGACATCCGAATTGGTTAGTGCATTGGTACACAATTAACAAGTCTCATATTCAAGTTCACGTGTAAGCATCATGTACACCTATAACAATTTTTTTTAAAAAATATATTATACAGAATTGTGTATGATGTTAATTGGGTTGATTTTATCTTGCAATTTCAAATGTCAAGCAGTGAAAGCATTACATAACATGATGACCAAAGTAATGATGGCAATTGTGAGATGGTTGTTAGAAATTTTGGATGGATATGCTGAATTATAACTTGGAGTCCTATCAGATAAAGAAAATAGAGAATCATTTCAAGGATAGATTAAAGTTACGATGGAGTCTTGTTTTCAACTTAAGGATGATAAATATTAGATGTTATGTACATTTGGATGCTGAGTTATGTAGAGGCATCTGAGGAGGCTTTAATAATTTAAATGAGATGGTGCACACAACGATTTTGTAGTTGAGGAGTTCCTTACATTGTTTGTCATATTTATCTCTATGTTATCTAAGTTATAATACTTCCATCAGCATGACTTTTCATCTTAAATATATGATACTTCTTGGATTGTCTATGTATACAAATACCTGTGGTCTAGCTAAATTATTTTGTACTTATGCAGATTTTAATTCCATATGGACATCCTACTGAGTTTTTAATTCAGGATGCTAGCGGTGATTCTTTATTGAAGACAGAAGCTAGCAGCGTGTAAGCTTCAAAAATATGTACCATTTAGCAGTTACTTCTTGTTAAATAATTTGACGTTTCTGCCATAAGCTGCTTCACTGGATGTTATCTAAGAAACACTGTTTGGCATTTTGTTATTACTATTTACTGTTGATGTTGGATTTTTCAGGGTGCGAGATACAATTGTTCTTACAATGAGATTGTTTAAAGCAATGGTACATACCTTTATCCCAATATTTATATGTATTTTTGAATGAATCTAGCATATCCCGATCCCCAAAGGATGCTTTTTTTTCCTTATCTTTGCTTTCAACATATCCATTACTTTTTTCTGGTTTATTGCTGTTTTTCTCATTATGCTTGGACAAAGATGCTCTAAGTTCATTTATAATTAACACATTGACAGCATCACTTCATGTTGCCTGGTTGCTAATTAAGATAATATGAATAATTTGGGCTTTGGAACAAATGAATATTTTTGGTGGATGGAGAAAAGCATGTCAGGGAATATCATAAAAATGAGATAAAAGCCTCTAATCATATTGTTCAGCTAGGTTCTTCCTTTGTTGACAAAAGAAATTGTCACAATCCTGTAAGGTATACATGGAAGGAATCGGCCCCAAAACGTTGACCCCATCCTCACCATCCTTGTCTTTGTCTATTTTAAATTGATCTGTTAGCCAATTAATCACTCGATGTGCTTGGCTATACATTTTTCAAATGCACAATTCTCGAGAGTACTAAATAGCTCCTTAATTTCTTTTAGATACATCTGTGCATTGTCTTAAATATCATGGATTTTGTTGATAATTGTCTTAACTCTTAACTAGTGTGAGGCAATATTCTTCTATCAGGACCCTGAATTCCTCTTTGTATTTGGTGTGGAAAAATGTAGACATATTATAACTTGTGACTCATCTTAGAGATTATTAGCTTTTTTTGGGCCAGTTATCATGTGCAAATAGCAACTTTTTATCATTGATTAACTATCCTAGACTACCCTGCCTAGCAAAGTTTTAGATATAAGCATTTCATTTTCAACACAAAATTAGCCTCTCTTTTAGTTTTGTGCCTCCGCAGCCAATCAATCATCAATTTAGTTGGCGAAGCAAACATGTGCAAAGGATGACCATTTTGATCATTGATTACTCCAGGGACTAAAGTTTTATAATTGAAAGGAAATTTTTGTCCTTGTTAGACTACTACAGGTAATTCCTAGCCAACATGTGTCATGTCATGCTGCTGACATGGTTCACCTAGATTTCTATTCAGGCAGTCGTAAACTACCTTGAATTGAGCTATCTTCCATTTTGTGTTGACAAACATTCACTCATAGAGTAGTGTTATTTTCTACTGCAAAGCATATGTTATATTTTGGCTAGCAAAAGTTGTTTTTACCAAAGTAAATGTCATTGTTATGAATGATGAATCATAGTAGTTGAGAATGATCTTTGGTATTCTTCTTAGGGTGAATCCTAGAATTTAAGCTTTTTCATTTCTGACTCCAAATATCAAGCAAAATTTGCTTTTTTTTTCTAAAATCTAAATTCTGAATGACATATTCTCATTGGGTTGTATATACTTGCATGAATTTTTTAGCACAATATCACATCTTTCATCTGAAATTTTACCTGTGCATAAAGTATGAACCGGTTTTATCTTGTCTTTTTCTTTCCCTTTGTCATTTTTCTGTGTACCTAAATGTGGCACGCTGGCAATGCTCTTCACTTAATTTATCATCTTCACTTAATGCTTCATTATTTTCATGTGAAATATATAGTGTTTAGTAATTAACAATCACAAAATCACTTGTAGTTCTGTGATAACATAAAGAACTCCCAACAGTAGATGGAACATAATCTTTGCCATGTTGATACAAGTAATGAAATACTCTATGCTTCCAAGCAGACCCTATACGTTTTCTCTAATTAGCTGCAAAATTATGCCATGGAACTCTGACATTTTCCTGGTCACTATTACTTGATCTTGTTTATATATGCATGTTTCTACACTCTCTATGAGATGTACGCTTTGATTTTGTTCAGAAAGTGGTAATCATTTCTGGTGAAGTAGAATGTTGATATCTTATGCAATGCGATTTCCCCTCTCGTTGCAGGCTGGTGAGAAGAAGAAAGGGAGGAAAAGGGGACTCTTTTTCAAATAGATATATTTACAAAACAAAGGTATATGTTTTTGCCCTGTACGTGTGAATTTTCACAAGTTTGTCATCCTGGTATAACTATTTGTTGCAATTGCTCCCTATTTTTTAGTGAGATGCTTTTCAACTTAGTGTTTTATAGTAAATCTGCTTAAACTCGTGGTAGCAGTTTTATTCTTAAAATTATACTATGCACCTCGGAAATTCATTTACCCCTCCAGCATACTTTCGTCAGGTGAGCAAAAACCGGATCTTACTGTGCTGTCGTATCAACTTATCGTTAAGACTTACGAGAGGAGGTTGCAGTAGTTAACTGTAATTAAAATTTAGGAAGTCAATTGTCACAACTTAAACTTGAGATGTCTCGTTTGAAATTTGACCCATAATCCAATAGCTATGTTTAAGTTTCTCGAAATCAAATTATGACCTTAGCAATGCTATTAAAATCTCTTGTGTCTATCCCATGTGATCTGTAATGCTGTCACACTCTTTCACATGGATTGTGATTGCACCAAGCGACCCGTATCGAGTATTATTTTTCTACTAGGAGATAGCATTCGTTCAAGTTTTATTCTACTGCAGTCCCAAGCTGTCTGGGTTTGTGAATACTTGCACATCTACTATCCATTAGTTAATCATTCTTCCTATGGAACTGCATTGCAAGTTTGAAATATTTTGCTTAGAAGTCAACGGCAAATTGAAGCATCATAATGTTAGGATTGTCAATTGCCTCAACCATTTGAAGAAAGTTCATTGAAAAAAAAGGGGAAAAAATTATCATCCATAAAGATTGACGACAGTACTACATATTCATTCTTTTGGTTCGGTAAACACAAGAGGGCTATCTTTTATTTTTGTTCATGTAACCTTTTTTTTTACATAGGATAAATTTCGATAGATTATTAAAGTCTTTACCATTTACGTTAACCATTTGAGTGTTATAGCAATCTTGTTTCTATCTTAAATGGAAGAATTGATCCCATTGTATGCCAGAATACCTTATTAGCAAACATCTAATCTAGATTAGTGGATTACGGGATAATAATTAGAGGATATCTCGCAGGTGTCTTTTTAAAAATATATTAGAAAAATACTTTCTAATAATCATTCTTCTACAAACAATTCATTTATCGGTAAGACTATGTTCAAATAATAAAGGTATCTGTGATATCAATTCAATGCAAAAACTTATTATATATATATATATGGCATTTAATACATCATATCATTGGCTGTACGTCCGGATTATTAATGTTTGCTTAAGTTGCAGGCCAAGAGATGCTGCCTGCGTTGAACTTGCACGCCCTATTCATATTCTTCTGCGAGGCTCGGAGATCTTAATTTATTGAAACAGCCATCCTAATCTTAAGGGCTTCTTCCATGTCTCGAGTGTCACAAGATCGATCCCTTTAATTCTGTAATGACCTTTCTACATATACATTGTCCTCAGCAAAACATAGCACATCCTGTGGCTTTCCATAAGATTCATCATTTGCAAGATCAGCCACTGCAGGTAAACTTAAATATAATGTTACGCATAAATAACCCACATTTGCAGTGATCTGGTCATGGGTGCTTGCTACCTGCAATCGATGGACCACGTTTATAATTGAATTCGAAGAATGACCACACGATAGTTGCACGTGATGTGTTATTATTGTTTTTGATTCTTATAAAAGAAAATGAAATAAAAGAAGAAAGAACAGAAGTGAAAGTTCAGAACAATTCCTCAAAAAAAGAATTAAGAGTTGCTCGAAGATTTCAAGTCTTGGAATTTTCACCCCTTGAATTTAATGAATTCACCAAAGAAGAACATCATCCTTCGATCATCTAGTAAAAGCTACTTCCTTTTGACATTTTTTCCTCTCTAATACCCTCCTGATCCCATTTGAAGATAAACTTAAAAGGCCCATAATGCTACTACCAGTCTTCTAAAACATAACATGGTGCTACCTACCTATTACAAGAACAGAAAACTCAAGTCATCTTTCAATAGTTTTGCCAGCTTCAATTCCAGTTCTTCTCCAATAGGAGGAGCAACAGCTGAATTTGGGTAAATAAAAGAGAAAAAAAATATTTTGATACCAGTTGTGTACATTAGATGTATACATTGAAAAAAAATGCTTATTCTTAAATCAATGAACCCAAAAATTGATATTTACAACTTATATGGATTTTCTTTTCCCTTGGATCTCAAGGAATTAGTTATAAAAGAACAGTAAGTTGCTTCTCAACCGCACTACTTCGGACAACGTAATCCATCCTTGCAAGCTGCTCTCACCTGGAGTCTGCATTTGGTTCGGGGATGGGTGTCGTGGAACCACTTCGACATGATTTTTGTCATGGCTGTACAATGAGTATCGACTCAGTCGGGCTAAAGCTGCTACTGTGAGTGAACTTCATGGTGGACTTTCCTTGTTAACTGACTAACCTTCACATCAAGACGAGCAGACACCCCGACGGTTGTTGGCCTCACTGATCTCTGGCGTATGGCTTGGCAGTACTCAGGATCATCTGCCCACCCCTCATATCTTATCCACTGAATCATGTTGTGGTACATCGGGAAGAATCGCATCTGAACTGCAGAATAAGTGAAGTAGGGGATGAGGGCGGCAACGACGACAAAAAGCGTCACGATCCAGTAAGAAGGGGCTGGCACCAATCCCTCGATGAATACCATGAAAGCAGTGGTCGTTATGGTGGGGGTGATGGCTCCATAGACCAGGAGAAAGAGGTACCAAACAGCGATGCTACCCCAGATGAGGATGTGTTGTATCAGAGTGAAATACGTGATGTATAGAGCCATTTGGCAGTTGACAACCCAAACTACACATGTGTACATTGTGGCCCCAAGAATTCCAAGGTCGATGACTTCACCGCTTTCCCGGAAGGCCTGGTGCTGGAGCGCACTCGTGCAGAAGAAAAAGATGATGCTGGCACTGCAAATGCCATTGAACATCCAACCAAAGATCCGGAGCCAGCTGAAGATGACATTTTGCACACCTTCTTGGTAAAGCATGGGGAACTGTGTGAAAAAATAGGTACAGTTTTAGAATTCATCTGTTACTATATCAGAAGAGGAACTTTTGGGAGTTGCACAACCTGAAAGGAAAGGTTCTCTGAAGTAGAAATTATAAATGAGTGCAATTTTACGATAAAGGATACACACTTGATGATTCTTAAGCAGTTATTTGTATTCCACTAATGCATAATGTTCAAAAACAATGAAGGAGAAATGAGAAGTTCGGAAAGAAGAGTTAATGATTTCAGCTATGACAAGATCAAAGAGACTTAGTAATGTTTGCGTAGATATTGACGAAATTTATCAAAGCACAAAACTAGAAAAGTGAAGAATGAGTTCACTCGATTAAGGTCAAATCTTCAGGAAATATTTTAAATCTTTGCCCATGAAGTCATCACCACAACTAAAGATTCAAGGCTGTAAATTTATAATTGTTTGGAAATTTTTGTCAGCCGGCTCATATAAGACAATTATACAAGTGCTGCCAACATAATTAAGCAACTTATAAACCTAATCCTTTGTCAGTACTTCCCAGGTTGCCAGCAGGAGATGGTTTTTAACAATTTCCCATGCATACACCAGCATGAGAAGCTCTATGTGGAAACAATATGGTTAGGGCAAAACATTATAACAGATCATCTGATACAAAATGTGGGTAACATTACTACTAAATGGCCACTTAGAGCGGTAAAGTAGCTAGTGGAATAATTGATCAACAGATAAGTTGGTTGGATTTCAAAAAGAAAAAGAAAAGATAATTATTTGTCATGTAATTGTGAACCTTTCATGGTGGAAATATACCTTTAGACAAAATCGAGCTGAAACATCTTGATCCAAGACACCTAGAGCAATCACTGGAAGAGATGTGAAGATAACGTTATATAATGACAAAACCCAATCATTGTACGCAGGTTCACCAGAGAATGATGCATATGCCTCAAACAAGAAGAGTGTGACACCAAATGTGATGTTCTTGTAGAAGAAGTAACATATCTGCAAAGTGGAGGAACATGTCAACACACATTTTGCAAAAAGGGCATGGTTCAACTTTATAGGAAAGAGACTAGACCATTGATGATATCCTCCTGTAACACCAATGCCCGTGCACCAGTAGCAAGCGCTCCAAAAAGCGAAACTGAGCAATTGCAACATCACTCGACATAACAGCCTGGAAAGTCATAGCATTCAAGAAGATTTATTTAAAACAGGTTTTCAGAAAGAATTGAAGAAGCAACATTCCAACCCAACACAAACTAGAGACATTCTAATATCACATTCTCAGACTTATTTTTATTTTCATAATGAACAGGCAGGTTGTATTACAGTTTATTACTAACCTGCATTCCTTCAGCGCCACTGATACCGACACCTATATCTGCTTCTTGAAGCATTCCAACATCATTGGCCCCATCACCAATTGCTAATGTCACTTTACGAGTTCCGGCTTTAACAAGCCGTGTGACCTGGACAGTTTCATGGATTTCTTTATTATATTAGACCCATAATAATTAACCAAACTATGGATCAGTTACATTTTTATATTTAACGACATGAGTCAAGACTCACAAGGGCTTTTTGCTTGGGAGAAGAACGGCAGCATATAACTGATCCACAACCAATTGCCAGCTGTAAGAACATGTCTTTAACATCATCCTCCAAAGCATATCCAAGTGACTTCCCGTCTATGATCAAAGCAAATGATTCAGTACTTGATGAACTCAGAAGTTTCTTCCCTTCATTTATCTGATGGATAATGCTGTCCTTCAATGCCTGAAATGTCAAAAACAAAGTGTAAATATGTTGCCAAGTGAAGCTAGACAGTAAAATATATCCAAACTATTTCAGGAATAAACAAGGTGTTATTGAATTTAATATAGTACAACTGATCCATTAGTTTCATAGAACAATATGGTATATATTGAAAGATGAATTCAATTAGCTGTTAGACTTATAAAAGGAAAAAAATACCAAAGAACCTAAGGACTTCTAATTCTATCCATTAATTTGAATAGGATGTTGTGAGTCCGCCGAATATAGATGAGTTGTAGGATGAAGACAGGGACAAAGAAGCACAAACTAAACCATAAGTAGGGTACTTCTTAAGTTGTAACTTTATTCTTATACAACAGAAACACATTGGCATCAAGTTCTGCTTTGGCAAAAATATATAAGGTTCTTTGTTTCTTAAACACATTTTCTTGATAATGGCATGTAACTCTTTGGACTCAACATTTGAAGGATGGACTCAACTAGGTTGTCATCTGGCGTTCGTCCAGGACAATGAAGTAGCAGGATAAGTGTCAGGTATGACAGACGGCACATAATGAGGCTTGCAACTGCTTAAACTCTGTCAGAAGACTCAGAACCTTCACTTTATTTCTAAAAAAAATTCATATTTTCCATGTCCAATTTTATCTCGAGTTTTCCTATCTGCTATATAATTGGATTATCAATTCAAATTCAACAACCACTCGTATACACCTTTTTGATAGTTATTAGCCACAAAATTACCATTTACAGAGTACAATAAGTTAGAAGTGTACCTTAACAATGGCTTCTTTGTTCCCATCTTTCTCCAATCGAACTATTTCTGGAGTTTCCAAAGTGATTATTATCTGCTTCATTCCTTGTCTTAGAAGACTACAAGCGAAGCTGCAAGAGATCACAAAACAAAAATTACATATAGATACAAACCCAATGCACATGCCAGTTAGTCTAAGCACAGATTACATACCCAATATTGATGGCTGTCTCCATCTTGTCACCTGTCAGTACCCATATTTTTATTCCAGCTTGAGCTAGTTTGTCAATGCAT